CACAGCCATGCAAACACAACTGCTTCACGGTAGAAACACGAATGGGATGTAACGGATGACCACAGTATTCTCTGTTATGTTCATGGTTCAATATTCAACTATATTCAGACAATACAGACAACAGACATAGATATAGTATACTAACATTGAGTCTGGTTATAATTTACGCGCCAAATTTTAAAATTCGAATATTTCTTTTTTGTTTTTTATGATCACACATTTATATTAATAAAAATAAAAAGTTATTACGCGAGTTGTCGTGTTTTACATGAATGGTTGTTAAAATTTAATTTAATTTAAACTTACTGCGTTACTTAAATTGTCGAATAGTAAAAGTGCAAATAAGAACAGAGTAAATATTTAAAATTTAAAAAGATAATTAATAATTTTCTGCATAATAAATAAAAATAATGACCAGAGAGCTAAATGCTCTCTGGTCAGTGGTTGTGACTTTTTTTTTTCATTTATATGATCAGAGAGCAAGTAATCAGTTCGTTTTATTTTTTTAATTTCAAACTATTATTTCTGTCACTATTTTTAATACGACAACTGCATATTTGTGTTCTTAGATTATAGAGGGTCTCCATACAAATGCTTCGAGGAAAGCGGCTCAACTTTTTCATACAATTTTGCGTGACAAATAGTTATGGATGATTCCTTTATAATTTCTATATTTATTTTGTCTTATAATTTCTGCATCTTTTTATTGCGTAAATACTCATTTTATTTACTAAACAATACGTCAAGATACATTGTATTCATAAGTATATAGAATATTAATAAAAAAAACGAGTCAACTAATTTGACTCAATACTCTATCTATATAATCTAAGTCTGTATTATAGTGATTATATTTACTGTTTTTTTTTAATAATCACTACGTTTTACTGTTATTGGTGAAAAACTTAGTGATAACCTATAAATGGCTTCATTGTTGTTAACTTGTCGTTATTTTATGTAGATAAACCTTGATTTTCCTGTTATGGTTAAATAAATAAACATAAAAAATATCGTTTAGCTTCAACATAAATAATACTCAAATCTTTATAATATAATATTCAAAGTTTTAATGTTCGCTGAAAGGACATGGCGCCACTGTACTCTAATCTTATTTTTCTGAATTTTTCAATATTTCTATAATTCTATAGTTATGGCTATATTTTTTTTCGAAAGAAAAAATGCAATAACAATTAAGATGATGTTGAAATTGAAATAATAGCCCACAAATATGAACAGTACCATTGTATTTTAATGTAATAATTGCTGATTTAACTTATTTTTAATCACAAAACAAGACTTTAAAATAGAACAATTGAAATACAATTGTTTTATTTAAATGTCTCTTTTGTACAATTCTCCGAAATGTCTTTCAAGAATATTATCTGTTATTGTAAGTAGGTGTACTTACAACGAATTTTAATTAGCTCTATGCCTATTACAATACGCATAATGGTATGCATTTTATGCATCATTATTTTGTTTTTCTTTTATAAAGTCAAAAGATAATATTATTTTAGCTATTTTATAAATTTAGCGCCATCTATGCAACATTATAAAAACAAAATGAAATTTCAAAACTTCTTGGTTATTAGCACTACCACCGGCGAGCTGAAATCAATAGTTACAATTAAACAGGAAAGATGGCGTTATTCAAATTTCCGGTTTTTTATAATAATTATGTAAATAAAATAAAAATATTACACTAACATAACTGATAATTTTATTCATTTAATAACATGTTCTCATTTAATTCCATTTTAATGTTTCTCAAACACAAAGCATGCTACGGTTGCCTCTAAATGTAAGAAGAGTTAGACATAATCCACTAATGTTGGTGATCCTATAAGTAAATAAATAAATAATATTGATTATTAATACAAACTTATTTTCCAAATTTAAGTAAAAAATTAATTAATTTTAGTTTAAAGACACCAACAAAGTTGCCAGATGCGAATTTTGATTTTTACCAGGTCAAATATTTTTTTTACAAATCTATATATTCCAAGACTTTTACCTTATTTCAAAGTCCTTTTTCACTATGTATGTGCCTCAAAGTGTTTGTATGTATGTATGTGAAAAAAGGTCTGTTTCCACTCTGTTCTCTGCTGTAAAATATTTTATATTTCTCTTTATAACAAGTACTAAATGTATTTCCCAAAATTGCTAAAAAACTTATCACTTTATTTCACTTTCCTACAAACATTTCTCGAAGAATTTTTTTTTTTCTTATGTAATTTAGAATGACAAACAAGCTGCAACAACGGCCCACCTGATGGAAAGTGGTAACCGTCGCCTATAGACATGAGCAGTACCGTAGACATAACAGAGTATACTGTTTCGCCTATGAACCCCCCCCCCCCGTGCGTTACCATTCCTCTTCCCATTTCTCCAAAACAAAACAGGATAATGCGCGAACAGAAAATTTTTTACCCAAAAATGCGGTACAAATATCCAATCTAGCAACGCCGCATGTTTACGAGTATCTAAACAATGTATCAATCTTTAGGTAACTTCACGCTTCGTTCCTTGCAGGGAACGGAAAATAAACTATATCTAGTTATATCGATTGCTTAGGTACCTCTGTCCCATTCGTGTTTCAACCGTGAAGCAGTTGTGTTTGCATAGCTGTGTTTCGATTTGAAGGGTGGGGTATGGCGTGAATTTACAGGGTACAGAGGAATAACATCTGGGTCCTCAGGAATGGCAACGCATACGAGGTATCATGGGCGAAACAGTATACTCTGTTATGTCCATGGTACTGCTCATGTCTATAGGCGACGGTTACCACTTTCCATCAGGTGGGCCGTCAGCTTGTTTGCCATTCTAAGTTGTATAAAAAAACACCCGTGTCACACAAAGTCATAGCATATACCTAATGATTTGTAATTTATCTAAATATATATTTTAATTTCTGTCTTGCACTACTACTGCCCACTCACTACTTCCTATGCCACTGTGTTAGGTTGACTGGAAGAGATCTCTTTTAGAGATAAGTTTGCCTTTGCTAACATTGTTATTAACTTATTGTTGTTACTGTATGTTTTAGTGCAATAAAGAATATATAAAATTCATTGCCATTCTAAGTTGTATAAAATTTTTTTATTAAAGTCGGGGCGGGCGGCTAGTTTAAAATAATTACGCTACACTGCGCCATCCCACGTCTCGTGCACCGCGTGGGAAAGCACGTGGATGAACCATTATCATGCAAATATTGAGTTTGGCTTTGTAATGATGTTTGTTAAACTGAACACAATGGTGCCTTTGGTCACGGGCAGTGGCTTTACCCACATATTTAGGTGTTGACAGAATAAAAAAAAAACAATTAAGATTGTGTTCCAGAAACAAAAAACATTTCAATTGTGACAAAACCATTTTTTTTTTTATACAACTCAGAATGGCAAACAAGCTGACGGCCCACCTGATGGAAAGTGGTAACCGTCGCCTATAGACATGAGCAGTGCCATGGACATAACAGAGTACTCGTATACTGTTTCGCCCATGACACCCGCAATGCGTTGCCATTCGTGAGGACTCGGGTGTTATTCCTTCTGTACCCTGTAAATTCACGCCATATCCCACCCTTCAAACCGAAACACAGCTGCTTTACGGTTGAAACACGAATGGGACAGAGGTACCCAAGCAAACGACTTTTGTACAAAGTCTCCCTCTGGTACAATTATTTTTATATATATTCTTTATTGCACTTGAACAAAAGATACAGCGATTAGTTTAAGAACTTGTTAGCAAGGGAGGGCTTATCTCTGAAAGAGATCTCTACCAGCCAACCCAGTGTAGTTAGAGAGAAAATAATTGATTGGCGAATAATCTAGTGCAGTAAAGGTACCGGTAAAAATGATTGAAATAAAATAAACATACACAAATTATAAATAAATAAATAAATAAAATTATTTAAAAATTAAACTGATAAATTGACTTTAATCTATTTCTATGTAAATTTATTTTTTATTTATTTATACTTTATTGTGGACAAAAAATTACAAACATAATTTATATTTTAAATAAAGATGTACAACAGACGAGCTTAACTCTGTAAGAGTTCTCTTTCAGCAGCCCAAAATTTATTTATTTATTTATTTATTTGTATGTTTTTGTATATATAAATAAAATATCAACTGCTTCACGGTTGAAACACGAATGGGACAGAGGTACTCAAGCAAACGATCACCCTTCACTGGTGCCCCGCCAGCGTATCCCGTTAGCGCAGGCGGGTTACCATACCATTATCATGCATTAATAATATATATATATATATATATATATATATATATGGAAAAACCATTTACACTAATCAGCTGTTCGAAGCCAAGCTATCATCATCACAATGATAAATAGAATGTAAGTGTATATTTGTTGTCTTAGTAACGCGGTCGATGATCGACCTATTAACCCGGCCAGAGGTTACAAACCTTTTATCGTAAACGCGATGCCATTATTCATGACCGTATTATGCATATTTTGACCAACTTGAAAAAAGAGTTGTAATGTTTTTGTTTTTTTTTCTATCAACAATATCACAATTTGTGACGAACAGTCGCTTTTATTTTTTACCATTGCTGGTACTTGGTACTGGCCTGTATTGTATTTTAACTATGGTAGAAAAATGGATTTCTCTAATCGGTCTACTACTGACGGAGTTAAGAGGTAACAAACAAAAAAAAATATAACCGAATTGAAAATGTCTTTCTTTTTGAAATCAGTTGTTTAAAAAAAAGAATTGGCAATAATTGACATTACAAATATTTATTTTTAACCAACTTGCAAAGAATTCGTTTGTATTTTTTCATGTTTGTCTCTTAACTCTGTCAATCATAAACCGATTTGGAAATTACTTTTTTACATACAGATTAGTCCCATAAAATTTTTATCACAATCGGCTAAGTAGTTCAGTTTTTAAATCATAATAACTGGGTTTGTCACAATTGAAGTCGGTTTTTTTATACCACTGAGGTGGTAATCAAGCATATGGCCCACCTGATGGTAAGTGGTTACCGTAACCTATGAACGCCTGCATTATCAGGGGATTTACGCGCGCGTTGCCGACCCTGAACAAACCTCTTTACCCCCCTGTTGAAGAACCCCATGCTGTAGTCTCTTTTTTGTTTAATTATTCGAAAGGCACATTACCTAGATGTACTATAGTATTCGGAGTATAAGAATAAATATGTCTGCGTATAAAACTGCAAGAAAAAAAGAAAATATACAAAATGCATGTTGTAATTTTAAAATAGTTGCGGACATCTGCACACAATTCAACATTCGCGGCGACCTTTGCGCATGCGTGCGTCCGACACCGGTCTAGTCGACGGCTCTCGCGCATCCCGCTGGACGTCGAAGCACCGGTTCCGTTTCCGTTACTAAACTAGTTCGAATTTCGAATCGTAGTTTTCGTATTTTAATATACATACATTTTTTTTTTTCTTATCCTCGTAAACCAGTATGACGTGCCAGTGTTAAGTTTTTTTTTTTTTAAATTCAACCTAATGATTACAGTTTAATGATGATTAATGTGTTTTAATTCGATTCAAAAATGTGTTTTGTTTTCTTAATATTGGTATTGTGTTCGCAATATGTTGTTGCCACTGGAGTATACGAAAACATCACCAGGTGACCTATATTTGTTATTTTTCTTACTTGTCGATTGCTTGGGTACCTCTGTCCCATTCGTATTTCAACCGTGAAGCAGTTGTGTTTGCATGGCTGTGTTTCGGTTTGAAGGGTGGGATATGGCGTGAATTTACAGGGTACAGAGGAATAACATCTGAGTCCTCATGGCAACGCATGGGGAGTATCATGGGCGAAACAGTATACTCTGTTACGTCCATAATACTGCTCATGTCTATAGGCGACGGTTACCACTTTCCACCAGGTGAGCCGTCAGCTTGTTTGCCATTCTAAGTCGTACAAAAAAAAAATTACTAATAATCCCTCTCAGGAGGGAAAGGGATTGTTAATAATGGAAATTAGCAACCCTATTTTTAGCAATATACCCTATCAGGTCGACCTCCACGCAGTTCCCCCTGGAAACCATCGTGACTGATTCATTAGTAAATTTGTCACGATTGGCTAACTGACCTGCTCCATCTTCACCTATCATCCCTCACTGGTGCCCCGCCAGTGTATACCGATAGCGCAGGCTGTGTAACCATTCTATTATCATCCATTAAAAAAATATCTCCCCCCCCCCTTAGTCCTTCGAGACTGTAATTTTTTTTAATGTGTGATAATGGAATGGTAACCCCGCCTGCGCTATCGGGATACGCTGGCGGGACACAAGTGAAGGATGATACGTGAGTATGAAGCAGGTCAGTTGGCCCATCGTGACGAATTCAACAAGAATTGTTCTCGATGGTTTCCAGGGGGAACCACGTGGAGGTCGACCTAATAGGGCATATTGCTAGCAATGGGCCTGTCAAACTCCATTGCTAACAATCCCTTTCCCCCCAGACTGTCACATTGTAAGGTGCCTACTTATAATCACGGCTGTGTTATAGGTGTTATTCTCTATATAAATTGGCGTGGAGAAAGCGGACCCTAATAGGTACCTGTCAACCTAGATTATAAACTAGTATCTGTCTGTAATGCATGCCGTTTAAAAATGCACAGCGATCCCTTTAATTTCATTTATAACTTTTACCTAACAACAACGGATTACATAGAAGGAATGATAAAATAAAAATTGTAAATCATACGGTTGCCTCCTTTCTTCTTATGCAGATATAATTAGTAAAAAAAAGAAGAAAGATACACGATCAGTTGCTATTTTTCTCAAGTCATAGTAGGCTAGTGTATAGAAAATGTTTGATATGTCAATTATTTGTCAATAACAAATTTTACATTACTAGATTATTTATTTAAGACAGTTTATGCAGTAAGTATGCAAGCAGGTTGTATCTGAATTTGGTAGGGTTATACAGCCGTATAACATTTTCTATACACTGCTATGAATTGACCATAAGTGTATATATATATATATATATATTACGGTTTGCAACGAATTCTATGATTAACGTTTTCCATCGCCTATAGACATGAACAGCGCCATGGACATAACAGAGTATAAAAATACCCCCAAACCGGAAACACCAAAAAAAACACTTTGAAAATGGATAAACAAATCGCAAAATACCATTCACTTTGTCATATTGTAAACAAATCAAGGGAAACGAAGGAGATCACAATACAGTTTGCCGAGCACTCGGCTATTTCTGTCCGAAATTGGATATATTTCCTTGGAATTAATTCGCTAATAAAAATTGACAGTATCATGTTGCATCTGTTTTACTCGACTACAGAAAGGTTAATTGTGTGTTTCGCGCGTATCTGCACATCATTTTTATACGCAACTTAGAATGGGAAACAAGCTGACAACGCACCTGATGTAAAGTGGAAGCCGTCACCTGTAGACATGAGCAGTACCATGCACATAACAAAGACATAACATACTGTGTGGCCCATGATACCCTCTTATGCATTGCCATTCCTGAGGACTAAGGTGTTATGCCTCTGTATCTTGTAATTTCATTGCCATATTCTAATGTATACGCCCATCAACCTGAAACACAGCCATGCAAAAACAATTGCTGCACGGCAGAAACATAAATGAGATTTTATCTTATATACTCTACTATATCTCATAGAATTCTTTATAAAAATAAGTTTTTTTTCATACAACTCAGAATGGCAAACAAGCTGACGGCCCACCTGATGGAAAGTGGTAACCGTCGCCTATAGACATGAGCAGTACCATGGACATAACAGAGTATACTCTTTCGCCCATAATACCCCCCATGCGTTGCCATTCTTGAGGACTCAGGTGTTATTCCTTTGTACCCAGTAAATTCACGCCATATCCCACCCTTCAAACCGAAACACAGCCATGCAAACACAACTGCTTTACGGTAGAAACACGAATGGGACGGAGGTACCCAAGCAAACTTTTGTACAGAGTCTCCCTCTATTCAGTAGTTTAGTTTGAAAATAAAAATAACTTGTTTTGCCACAATTATAGTCGTTTTTTCTTTATGTTTCGTGAAATCTTAAAAATTTTGGTTTTAACGTCTTTACTTAAATATTTTTTAATCATCAAAACCACCATCATATCAGCTTTTAAATGTCCACTGCTGAATGTTCAGGTTTATGTAAGCCTTCCCCTAGGGCGGTTTTGCCAGTAGTTGCCACGTTTGGCAGATGGATTGGCAACCATAGTTAGGCTTTGGAGATGTTTTAAGAGAGACGCTGCTGCCCATCCTTTACCCTTCCTTAGTCGCCTATTACGACGCCCACGGAAAAGAAATTGGTAGCTTATTCTATGCCGGGACCACACAGGGATTTTTAATGCGCGAGTCCAAATCGCAATTAATGAGTTCAATATAATTTATGTGATTTTATTTAATAAATAAATAAATAATAAAACAAAACAATTAAACATATGTACTGTAATAAAACACAACAAAGACACCCCTGCGTCCGTCTGTCCATATCGGTTCACGACCGACTCACACGATGATACAACACGCCTTTGTTCACAAGACGTAAAAAAAAACAAAAACAATGATGAGTGTGCTCAGTTCTCGTGATTAACAATTTTTTACGGTTTTTTATGTTTTTTTTTATATATGTGTAAACTACACTATAGCTATTGGGCACACGGTTTCCATCCGCCATCTTGGATTTATGATGACGTCACACTTCCTAGTTTCCTACCTCGATCTTATTTATTTATTTAAACTTTATTGAACAATAAAAAGCAGGTCAGTTAGCCCATCGTGATGAATATATCTGGAATACAGTACAATGGTTTCAGGAGGAACCACGTGGAGGTCGACCTGATAGTGTATATAGCTAGCAATGAGACGGGTAGTTCGCATTACTAACAATCCCTTTCCCCCTAACATTTTTTTTATACAACTTAGAATGGCAAACAAGCTGACGTCCCACCTGATGGAAAGTGGTAACCGTCGCCTATAGACATGAGCAGTACCATGGACATAACAGAGTATACTGTTTCGCCCATGATACCACCATGCGTTACCATTCCTGAGGACTCAGGTGTTATTCCTCTGTACCCAGTAAATTCACGCCATATCCCACCCTTCAAACCGAAACACAGCCATGCAAACACAACTACTTCACGGTTGAAACACGAATGGGACAGATGTACTCAAGCAATCGACTTTTGTACAAAGTCTCCCTCTGGTAGCATGTTAGATTCACATAAATTTGCACGGTCAGTAATTACTATTTCCTTTCAGCAGCAACCCTTGCACGGACCGCAACCACCTGTTCCTGGCGCCTGGGGTGCTCACAGCTGGCGGCAGCAATAGAGCCTGCATCTCCAGGTTCTACCCTCAGGGGCCTGTTCACGTACTGCTCACGCTGCGTACTGATGACAACAAGTCGGTGACGGCGTCGAGAGACCTGCCACCAGGTACGACTGGAACGACTATTCCAATTATATATTAGTAGGTATAAAGGGGGGGAAGGGATAAGTGTTCACTGCTGAACATAGCCTCCCCCATAAAAGGGCTTTTGCTAGTTGTCACGCTTGGCAGACAGATTGGTAACCGCAGTTTGACTTTTGGTGACGTTTCAAAAAGGACAGTACTGCTCAACCCTGCACCATAAACTGCCTTAGTCGAAAGAAGGGGTAGCCTATTGTAGGACGGAACCTACACAAACACACACATACACACACGCACGCACACACGCACGTACGCACACACACACACACACACACACACGCACACGCGCACGCAGAACACACACACACGCGCGAACGCGCGCACACACACACACACACACACGCGCGCGCACGCACGCACGCACGCACGCAAGCACGCACGCACGCACACATGCACGCACGCACGCACGCACACACGCACGCACGCACGCACGCACGCACACACGCACGCACGCACGCACGCACGCACACATATAATAATAATTATAATACACATATGTGTGTATAATACGTCAATATAATAATTAATCAGAAATATTTAAGAAAACTTTCAATTGTTTTTGAAAATTGACAAAAAGATGTCATCCTTCGTTATGAATGCCCTTAAGATATCAATGTGCAAGAAAGAATAAAAATCATTTCATAATTCCAGGTGACGGCGGATGTCTCGAAATATCCGTGCCACAGAAACCGAACACAAAGGCCGACATGATATTGAACGTGAGGTAAGGAAATCAATTAGCCATTATATACTTTAATAAGTTGCTATCACGCAATATGGGGAAGTAATTTATTTCTATACCTATAATATAATCATCTTTTTATGTATGTATCTTCACGCCAAATCCCTATATGGCAACCTTAGATTATATAGACACAGTGTCTCCATAGAAATGCTTCGAGAAAAATGGGTCAACATTTTCACACAATTTTGCGTGATAAATTGTTATGAGTGATTCCTTTATAACTTCTACGAGTATATTTAATTTGTCTTATAATTTCTGCATCTTTTTAATGCGTAAACACTTTAATAAAATTATTTATTTATTAAATAATACGTCAAGATACATTTTATGCGTAAATATATGTGTTCTATAGAACACTGATAAAAAACGAGTCGGCTAATTTGACAATTAGCTGACAAAAAGTTGACCCGTTTTTGAGGTTCGATGCTCTATCTATATAATCTAAGATGACAACATAACAAAACGGTATTTGTTAAATAAACAAAAACTTGGTTTGGTCGCCTGGCAGCGTCTGCTTTCAACATTTACCATAATAATGTGATAAATTAATTATATATTTAGTTCATTAATCAAGTATATTGTTTATGCATTATTTATATATGTATATATTAAATCTGGTCATAAACGGACACTCTAGGTTCATTGCACGTGTTAGATATTTATTTTAAATTATATTAATTTTCTTAAACATCTTGCGTCAAAATGTGTACCTACATTTATTAATAAAAATCAAAGTAACTACTTTCAATATAATAAAGTATTAAAATTGTTATTATACCGAATTTAGTAATCAATTATTCTTGTAATGTTAATAAAAGACTAATTAATATTTTAATTGATTTTTTAATTATTTATTATCATGATACCTAAATAAAAAGTAATGAAATTGTAAGAACACGTGGTCTCACTGACTTGTTTACTCGAATTCGGCCGTGTGGATATAAAAGATTGTCATTTGAGTGAGGAGACACTGGTACTCTTTCTACAGATATCCAGAAGCAAAATGTACATGGGAGAGACAGATGACAGTTCGTATAGCTGGTGGCAAGATAGTGCTGGTTCACACTGACCGGGCACGGTACAGGCCGGGGGAGATTCTGCGGATCAGAGTCTTCGCTTTGAAAGCTAACCTCGCGGCAGCGCCGGGACTGGTAAGAAAAACAAACTGTACGGTTATTACCCTTATAAATTCTACAGTTTTCTTTCAGCTTCTCAAAGGTTGACTGTAAGAGATCCCTTTATGGGATAAGTCCGCCATTGTGTATTAAATCTTTTAATGTGTTCAGTATGAATTATGTACAATAAAGATTTTACAATACAAGAGGGGGGAAAAGGGATTGTTAGCAATGGAGTTTGACAGCCCCATTGCTAGCAATATACAGGTCGACGATAAGGCATCAGGTCGACCTCCACGTGGTTTCCCCAGGAAGCCATCGTAAACAATTCTTATTGAATTCATCACGATGTGCTAATTGACCTGCTTCATCCTCACCTATCATCCCTCACTGGTGCCCCGCCGGTGTATACCGATAGCGCGGGTGGGGTTTACTATTTCATTATTACCCTTCTATCATTCTACCAGAGGGAGACTTTGTACAAAAGTCGATTGCTTGGGTACCTCTGTCCCATTTGTGTTTCTACCGTGAAGCAGTTGCATGGCTGTGTTTCGGTTTGAAGGGTGGGATGTGGCGTGAATTTACTAGGTACGGATGAATAACACCTGAGTCCTCAGGAATGCAACGCATGGGGGGTATCAAGGACGAAACAGTTTACTCTGTTATGTCCATGGTGCTGCTCATGTCTATAGTCGACGGTTACCACTTTCCATCCGGTGGGCCGTCAGCTTGTTTGCCATTCTAAGTTGTATAAAAAAAATCCCCCTTAAAAAAATACAATACAAGATTGAGTTCCGCAAGAAAACCAAATACAACTGTGAAGAAACCTGTTAGTTTGATTCAAAGCTAAACCACTGAACCGATTTTGGTAAAATTTCTATAAGACTAATCTGTAAGTATATATTTTTAAAGAAAAAAAGAATTATCCAAATCGGTTTTTTAAATCTTTTTAAATATGCAATCAGAACTTAACGGTATGAAAAACCTTAGCAGATAAATAGTACAATACCTGGTCCTGTGGTGACCACGACGTGGTGCAATCCACGTCGAAACGTCGGCAATAAAGGAGCAGGTATGTAGGTACTATTTACCTGTAAAGCTTTTTCCATCGCATTAAGTCCCAATTGTGTATAAAACTAGCTGTTGCCCGCGACTTCATCAGCGCCAAACTGTCGCGGACATTTTTTTTGGATCATTTCAATTTTGATCCAGTATTCTCAGACATAATAAATAAGTAGGTAGGTACATCGAAACTAACTAAACGGGAATAACAAATACCACACGGACAATGTCGCGGGCATCAGCTAGTATAAAATATAAACGTTAAAAAATACAACCGAATTGAAATGAAACTCTGCTGCCCATCCTTCGTCCACTAAGTTTCTTTAGTCGCCTCTCGAAAAACGAAGATACAGTTAATTCTATGCGAGGAGAGGGGGGGAAGGGATTGTTAGTAATGGGAGCAATATACCCTGCCAAGTCGACCTCCACGTGGTTCCTCCTGGAAACCATCGTGGCCAATTCCAGTTGAATTCGTCAGGATGCCCTAACTGACCTGCTTTCATCCCCATCAGTCATCTATCACTGGTGCCCCGCCAGTGTATACCGATAGCGCAGATTGGGGTAACCATACCATTATCACCCATTAAAAAAAATTCTATGCCGGGATCACACAGCGTAATAAAAAAGTGCGATGATGGTATTATAACCGCATACGGACAGGGAGAAAGGGATTGTTAGTAATGGAGACTAAGAATGCCATTGCTAGCAATATACCCAATCAGGTCGACCTCCTCGCGGTTCCCCCTGGAAACTATCATGGTTAATTCCTGATGAATTCATCATGATGGGCTAACTGGCCTGTTTTCATTCGCATCTGTCACCCTTCACTGGTGCTCCGCCAGCGTATCCCATTAGCGCAGGCGGGGTTGCCATACCATTTTCATCCATCAAAAAAAAAACCGCATACGAACAAGAATTAAAAAATAAACCGCTTACAATTTATTATAATTGTAAGCGGTAAACCTTATAATAAACAACTATAATGACATGCATTTAGCGTAACACTGACCCACATACGGAGATGACATGACGTGCATAACGTGTTCACATAAGCAAATATTTGTTCACCTCAGCCGATATCCGGGTAATGAATGTAAAGGTGATTCCCATCTGTGTTGCCAGATAGGGTATTTTTCCCCCAATTTTTGGTTAAAAAATTATGTTCGCGATATATTAATATTGGAGAAATTAAATTGTCAGAGAAAAGTGAAACGGACTTAAATATACCATTTAATGTAGCAAAACAGAAAGTAAGACATAACGGTGGGTATTATCTAGCAATTATACATGTATTGTATATATTAGCCCAATAAGAGATATATATATTTGGGGGGAGAGGGATTGTTAGTAACGGGGACATTAAGCCCCATTTCTAGCAATATACTCTATCAGGTCGACCTCCACGCAGTTCCCCCTGGAAATCATCGTGATTAATTCGTGTCGGTTCCGTCGCAATGGCCTAACTGACCTAGTTTCATCGTCACCTATCACCTCTCACTGGTGCCTCGTCAGCGTATACCGATAGAGCGGGCGGAGTTCCAGTCTAACCCATTTAAAAAAAAAATAAAAGATATATTAAAAATCGTTTATTCAATATATACATTGAAAAAATAGAACCAGCTCGTAATTAATATAAATACCAAGATCAGACAAATATAAAAGAAACTGCCTTACTATGTGCGTTCATATATATATTAAAATTCCAAATGAGTTTAAAGATTTGAATGTCACTTTATTTGGAAATAGATTATACAACTGGCTAAAGGAACAGAATTTTTAATGACATAAAACATTTCATTTCCTTTCGTTTTTGAAACGATAAAATGTGTTATTAACTTCTAAGCATTATTATTGACAATGTTGCTGTAGTTTTAAATAGTATTTGTTTGTTTAATTTTGTTTAATTTAGTATTGTCTAATTTTGTGTTTCGTTTACTTGTATTTTATTTTGTGCAAATTCTAGTGGCTGCCAAATTACTATTTAAGTATATAATTATGTATTATTTTAGCTGTTTGTTCGCCTTAAATAAATAAATAAATAGACATTTGGTATTAACAAAATTTTTTTTATATCTAACAATGATTGATAATAGGAAACTTAATTTGCACGCTATATGACTTTAGCAAGACATGTGCACTCTTAAATATAATTGTAACATCACTGTATACCATGTTTTACGCAAATAAATATTTATTATTATTATTATCCTACTGGTGTAGGCGATATCGCAATGGGTGATCTACATTATCCAGAAAAACTCAATATATAGTTATCAGATATTAACCATCTGTATAAGAGAGCATAGGGAAGACATAATTGCCCACTACTATGTAGTTATCATGACAAAACATAGTGAAAATCGACATAAGTTTGAAATAAAGAAATATGTATCAACTTGGAAAAAAAAAATTAAATCGTTTTTATAACAGAGGGGGCAAAAAGTGAGCACGCGGCTCACCTGATTGTGACTAGCGCCACCCATGAGCACTTTTAAAAAATATACTCTTTTCTTAAAAGTTACGATGTCATATATAATAAATAAATAAATAAATATCGTTTCGGAAATACTAGCAGTATTATTCCAAAAAGTAATTGTGCGTGGAAGGAAGTGCCTTGACAAGTGCATGGTGGAGTACCACCACTCATCCAGATAGTTGGGATAGAATTTTAGATTGTGGCGGGTTATAAAGTGGTGAAATACAGCAGCAGGTATCAATCCGAACAATTCCTCCAAACACTCCCCATAATATACTTGTTTTTTTATACGACTTAGAATGGCAAACAAACTGAGGGCCCACCTAATGGAAAGTGGTAACCGTTGCCTATAGACATGAGCAGTACCTTGGACATACTGTTTCGCTCATGATACCCCCCATTCGTTGCCAAAACTTGATAAAAAATGCATAAAGATGCAACATCTCTACGCAGTTTCAATGGGTTAATTAGTTAACAGTTAGGCGCTGATCGTCAGTAATTCGAATATTTGAGTAAAAATCTAAAATAGCATCTGGCAACCCTGATTCCCACGCGTGGGTGTATTCTGATATATGATGACCAAATTCGTATAATAAGTAATGTAACGTACAACAAAATATATATGTTTTAAATATACTTTCATATACATACATATATGTTTCATAGATTTTGGACGTGGAAACGTATGTTTTTAACCGACTTCAAAAAAGGAAGAGATACTAATTTGTTCTTTTTCATATTTATTACCTATATGAAGCCCGTCGTTTACAAAACCAATTTGAAAACTTTTTTTTATCCGAAAGGATATACTTTTAAACTGGCCACCAAAAACTTTGCACTTTCTTCCACGCACAACCATTCTTTGGAATCAACTTCCAGCAGCAGTATTTCCGAACCGATACGACAACATAACCTTCAAGAAAAGAGTATATTCCTTTTTAAAAGGCCAGCAGCACACCTGCTATGCCGCTGGTGTTGTGGGTGATCATGGGCGGCGGTAGTCACTTACCATCAGGTGAGCCGCATGCTCGTTTGCCCCCTGTGTTGTAAAAAAAAAAAATTGTTTAACAACTGTTAACAAACGTATTTTCGTTTTAGATCGACGAGATCTGGCTCGAAGGACCACGTGGCGCGTGGGACGGCGCCCGCGCAGCGCAATGGTCGCGCGTGCCCAGCCGGATGGGTATCGCGCAGGTGCAACACAACATCGACGAGCAGGCGCCCACTGGCAAGTGGACCGTCAGGGTTAGACTGGCTGACGGCTCCCAGGTTTGTTATCGTAGATGAAGAATTTAGAGATCTGGTCATAGACAGTAGTCGTAAGGAGGGGAGGTAGAGATTGTTAGTAATGGGATCTAACAGTCCCAATATGCTAGCAATATACCCTATCAAGTCGACTTGCAACCGGTTTACCTTAAAAAGCATCGTGGTTAGTTGTAGACTTTGTCACGATGGACCAAGTAACCTGCTTTCCTCTCAACTATCATTCCTTGCTGGTACTCCGCAAACTTATACTGATAGTGCAGGTGAGGTTACCATTCCATACTCAACTATTAGAAGAAAATGTAGGTAAGGAATTTATAGTATAGAGATCAAGAATAGCATAGCTGTATTTGTAACAAGCATTTTTTATGCCACTTATAATGGCAAACAAACTGACGACCCGCTAGATGGAAAGTAGTAACGGTCGCCTATAGACATGAGCAGTATCATGGACATAACAGAGTATACTATTTCGCCCATGATACCCCCTATGCGTTGCCATTCCTGAGGACTCAGGTGTTATTCCTCTGTACCCTATAAATTCACGCCATATCCCAACCTTCAAGCCGAAACCCGGCCATGAAAACACAACTGCTTCACGCTATAAGCGATTTCTTATGTAACTTGGAACAGCAAACAAGCTGATGGCTTATCTGATGGAAAGCATCAGGCATGAATATAGTGTGAAGCCTGACGCGTTGCCGATTCTGTGTACTATGGTGTTACGCCTATTTACCCTGAACTTAATTGCCATAAATATCCCACCCTCCATACAAAAACACAGCCATGGTCAAACTACAGTTTGTCGGTAAAAATAAAAGTGAAACAGAGATGTCTAAGCACAGAGTAAGTAAACCATTTCCATCACTACTCATCAGCATTTTGTAAGACAGATCCCATGTTTCTTTTTTCCAGGGCTCAGCGGTGTTCCTAGTGGGCAACTATCAACTGCCTCCCTTCCAAATGAGCGTCCGTCATGCTTCTAAAGTTTTAAGAACCAGCGAGAGACTGGTTTGGACCGTTTGCGTTAGGTCAGTATATGTTTTGTTAATGCATATACCCTATCAGGTTATCCGCCATGCCAATGGCGTAGCTATCGGAGAACTAGATGGGGCAATGCTCCGAGGCCCCCAAACTCAGGAGGCCCCTCGTACTCTGGCTTACAAACTATAATTTAATACAATTTGTAGTAGAGAAAATTTCTCTCACATTTGGAATATAATTATTTATATTCCAGATTCCAGGAACGCGACTTTAATAATTTAAAAATACTGGGGAATTCCCAACAAGTCTCGAACATCTTTGTTCGTAACTTGCGGGGAACTTCCCTGTGTTTTTAGGCTGGTTTATTTTTTTGCGCCAGGACCTTTGGTCACCTAGCTACGCCACTAGGTCGGCCTCCACGTGAGCCCCCTGAAAACTATCATGATGCATTCCAGATGTATTTATCACGATGGGCTAACTGACCTGCCTTTTCATTCTCATCTCTCATTGATGTCCTGTCAGCGTATACCGTCAACACAAACTGGTTTACGTTATCATCCATTAAAACAATACACTACATTTTGTTACGATTGGATAAGCTGTTAAAGCGCCAAAAGGCAATAAACAAACTCACCGTCACATTTATAATATTAGATAGACAATTCTTGTACAAATACTGAGGTCTAGATCTTATAGAAAAAGCATCAAGTCTCAAAAACGGGTCAACTTTTTGTCAGCTAATTGTCAAATTAGGTGACTCGTTTTTTTTAATAGTGTTCCTTATGCTTACGCATACAATGTATCTTGACATATTATTTAATAAATAAAATGACTGTTTACGCATTAAAAAGATGCAGAAATTATAAGATAAAATAAATATATAAGTTATAAAGGAATCACCCTTAACTATTTGTCACACAAAATTATACGAAAATGTTGACCCGTTTACTTCTAAGCATGGAGACACTATCTAAGATTATGGTAAAAAAAATGACATGCGTCTCAGAGTTAATAAAAACCCTTAAACCAACAGATATCCGTGGACAGAAGCAGTGGAAGGTATGCTGGTAATCAGAATCCGAGGTGCCGGCGGTACAAGCGGCTTAGGTATTAGGACAGCTGAACGTCTGCGCGCCCCACGGGCCTGCCACCGCCACGCGGCCGCCTCCAAGCGGATCGGGCTCAACGACACCAATCCACCAGATGTCGTTGTTGCTGATTTCTCTTTTCAGGTATTATTTTTTATAATACTTAACCTTCGTTTATAGGATAGATCCTAGAGCATCATGGACTTCTTTTAATGGATGCCTACCTGCACCAACTGTATACGCTAGCTGCCAACTAGTGAGAGATGATAGGTAAGATGAAAAGGCAAGTCAGGTAGCTCGTAGTGATGAATACACCAAGAATTCACGATGGTTTCCAGGAGGAACCACGTGGAGGTCGACCTGACAGGGTATATTGCTAACAATACGACAGGTAGTCCGTATTACTAACAATCCCTTCCCCCCACCTTCATCATGGACGTTACAGAATATGCTAAAATGTGATGAAATTAAAAGGATACGGAGTCATAACAGCATATTCCTCAGGAATGACAGCATACGATCTGTGAGAATTCAGGTTCCAATAAAATGCCATAAAAATCTCATCCCTTCTATGTGCGGATGCTTGAAGTTGTTTAAAAATAACCCAAATGGACTGTTACTGGGGGGAAGGGATTGTTAGTAACGGGGAGGTTAGCCCCCATTGCTGTAAATATTCCCTATCAGGTCGACCTCTACGCGGTTCCTTATGGAAACCATCGTGACTAAATTATCGTTGAATTTGTCACGATGGGCTAATTAACCTGCCTTTTCATCCACCAATCATCCCTTACTGGCGCCCCACTGGTTACCATTTCATTATCATCCATTAAAACAAATGGACTGCTACTTCCAGGAGTCAGGCACTGGCATCTGGCAGAATACGACAGTTGTCTCCCAGGTGGTGGACAAGGCTATCTCCTTGGAGTTCCTCACTAAACACCGTGCTGTTATTTCACCTGGCCTCCCGTATAAATTGAAGGTACACAAAAATATTTTATATATTGCCGTGTGGTCCCGGTATAGAACAGGCCCCCTCTTCCATTCCCGTGGGTGTCGTCTAAAGAACTAAAGAATCTTAATAGTCAAGGAATAGGCAACAGCGTCCATCTTAAAACATCACCAAAGCCTAACTGCGGAGGCCAATCCGCCTGTCAAGCGTGGTAACTTCTAGCAAAACCCCCCAAGGGGAGGCTTATGTTCAGCAGTGGACAGTTAAAGACTGATATGAAGATATAGAAATACGTAATTTTTTTTTATACAACTTAGAATGGCAAACAAGCTGACGGCCCACCTGATGGAAAGTGGTAACCGTCGCCTATACACATGAGCAGTACCATGGACAAACAGAGTATACTGTTTCGCACATGATACGCCATATCGTTTCTACCGTGAAGCAGTTGTGTTTGCATGGCTGTGTTTCGGTTTGAAGGGTGGGATATGGCAGTGAATTTACAGAGTGCAGAGGAATAACATCTGAGTCCTCAGGAATGGCAACGCATGGGCGGTATCATGTGCGAAATTTTGTACTCTGTTATATGCATAGTACTGCTCATGTCTATAGGCGTCGGTTACCACTTTCTTCTAGCAATAAGTTGGTGTAATCCTATGTATTGGCCAAGACTGAATGTTTTTTTGATGAGGGTAACGAGGGATGTAAGAAACATTGAGTCTTATTTTATATATGTACCATATAATTAATCTATAAATTATTTTAAAAGATAAAAGCAACCCGCTGGGACGAGAAGCCGGGTGCGAATGAACGTGTTCGGGTGTGCCGCTCGCCTATCAATGCAGTAATGTTACATCAAGTTGGATCTAGTAACACAACAGAGACGTGCAGCGAGGCCGTCACCGATGAGAAAGGCATTGCCCGGGTTATGTTCACATTGGATAATGGTGGAAGCACTTTGTATCAATTTCGAGTAAGTGTATATTGTATTTTTTTTTTAATACTCGTAGGTGAAAATGGAATGGTAACCCCGCCCGTGCTATTGGTATACACCGGCGGGGCACCAGTGGAAGATGACCGGTGAGAATGAATGCAGGTCAGTTGGCCCACCGTGATGAATTCGACAAGAATTAACCATGATGGTTTCCAGGGTGAACCGCGTGGAGATCGACCTGAGAGGGTATATTGCTAGTAATAAAGCTATTAGACCTCATTACTAATAATCCCTTTCTCCCCCCTGTATGTTGTACTAATTATGAAACCGATTCTATTCCATTCTGCCTCATTTTATTTTATTTTGTTCCATTCTATTCTATTTATTGTTAGTATTGAAACAGACTTTATCAATCAATCTAATAATACCCAGGCTTGCCTACACAACGACAGCGCGGTATCAGCACCGCCGCTGGAGATGCCGGCGCACCGAGCCGGTACGGTGCACGCGGCGCTCGGCCCGCTGCGGGCGACGCTCACCCAGCACACACCGAGCGCGTCGCCCGCAGCCGACCGGATGTCCGTGCCGCTGTACATCACACTGCGCAATACTACGCGACCGGTCACCGTGCACTTCGTTGTGAGTTTGCTGTATCATATATATATATATATATATATATATATATATATATAATATTTTTTTTATTTCAATACCGTTTCCCTAAATATTGAGAGTCACTTACACTTTGCTATCGGAATACCAAGTCTACCAGAGGGAGACTTTGTACAAAAGTCGTTTGTTTAGGTACCTCTGTTCCATTCGTGTTTCAACCGTAAAGCAGTTGTGTTTGCATGGCTATGTTTCGGTTTGAAAGGTGGGATATGGCGTGAATTTACAGGGTACAGAGGAATAACACCTGAGTCCTCAGGAATGGCAATGCATGGGGGGTATCATGGGCGAAACAGTATACTCTGTTATGTCCATGCTACTGCTCATGTCTATAGGCGACGATTACCACTTTCCATCAGGTGGGCCGTCACAAAGAAATTATATAACAAAGTATACTGTTTCGCTCATGATACCCCCCATGTTTTGCCATTCTTGAGGACTCAGGTGTCATCCCTCTGTACCCTGTAAATTCACTACCATATCCTACCCTTCAAACCGAAACACAACTATGCAAACAATTGCTTCACAGTTGATACACGAATGGGACAGAAATATCTAAGCAAATGACGTTTGTATAAAGAGTCCAGTTGCAAAAAAATAACTATTATATGATACAGCTCATCACTCGCGGCGGTATCATCCATCGCTGGGGCGCGACCACGCAGTGTGCGCTCCCCAACTCGGGTGACCACTTCCAAATAACATCCCGGGACAGCTACTGCTACACCGCCAACGTGGTCCAGCTCACGAACGCGTCCGACTCGCTACTCGACCGCCATCTATTGAGAGTTATGCTGCCAATAAAACTGACGCACCAAGTGTGCCCGGACAGTCATTTGATCGCGTATTTTTATTACAACAACGAATTGATTAGTGCCAGCAAACAGTTTGAAATGGAGGAATGCTTCGGTAATAAGGTACGTGGTGAGAAATTCAGTTTTTACAAGCGCCTTCAATCGTAATGCATTAATTAAGCGGAACAAAAGTAGTCCGTGTCATTCACCATATTTCAATTATTACTTATATAGCTTGAGCAGTTAAGACGCCGAGAAGTAACAAACATACTCACTTTTATGTTTTTATTTTTTTATGGGTGTAAATGGATAACGGGATACGCTGGCGGAGCACCAGTGAAGGGTGATAGATGAGAATGAAAACAGGCCAGTTAGCCCATCATGATGAATTCATCAGGAATTAACCATGGTAGTTTCCAGGGGGAACCGCGAGGAGGTCGACCTGGTTGGGTATATTGCTAGCAATGGCATTCTTAGTCTCCATTACTAATAATCCCTTTCCCCCTCCCCCCACTTTTATATTTAGAAAATTTGTAAATTAACTCCGCGCTCCGTTCAGTATGAGTCAGGCTTTATAAATATATCATAAACGGGAAACAGGAGGTGGCCTATTCTATGCCGGGACCATACGGCAATACGACGTTATATACTCATATTTATTAGAAACTACGTTTAGGTGGAGCTCACGTGGTTATCGCGACAGACGGCGCCGGGTGGATTGGCTCGGCTATTAGTACACGCTGAGCCCCGCGCCTTATGCGCACTGTCAGCGCTTGACACAGCTGCGAGCGGAGCGGGCAGCGGGACAGGTAGCGGAGCGGGTAGCGGATTACCCAGAGGCTCCTCGACAAATACTCCCGCTCCCGCCACCGCTCTAATCGCTGCTCTACGAAAGCTTATGCACTACCGTACCAACCTCACGGAATATGATGCATCCAGGCAATGTTTTCTATGTAAGTTTCACATGTTATTTTTTATGCACATCTTTGTTCTACTTGACTGAGCATACAGAGTGGAAAGAGTCGTTGGTGATGAAGAGGTTAATCCTCAAATTAACCCTCACGCGATCCTCCATGGAAACCACCATGGTTATATACCAATCGTTAACTATCCACTTCTGAACATAGATCTCTTCCATAAGGGGAGTTTGCCGGGGGGGGGGGGGGAAGGAATTGTTGGCAATGGAGTTTGCCAGCTCCATTGCCAGCAATATGCCTATTAGGTCGACCTCCACGTGGTTTCCCCTGGAAACCATCGTGAACAATTCTTGTTGAATTCGTCACGATGGGCTAACTGACCTTTTTCATCCTCACCTATTATCTTTCACTGGTACCCCGCTGGTGTATACATATAGCGCGGGTGGGGTTACCATTCCTTTATCACCCATTAAAAAAAAGGGGAAGTTTCCCACTAGTTGCCACGGTTGGCAGGCGAATTGGCAACCGCAGTTAGGCTTTGAAGACGTTTTAAGAGGAACGCTGCTGCCCATCCTTCGCCTAAGTTCCCTTTAATCACCTCTTACGACTCCCAGGGCAAAGGAAAGCAAATAAATAAAAAAAATCATATTTTACCTTTTATTTACCGTGTATTCTTAATAATTTAGGCAAGAAACAATATGTGTTATGTACCAAAGTCCAGTACAGTTCCATTCCAGTCCTCAGTCAACAGTCTCGAAGTGTCTACGTACTCCTAAATCGGAGCAAGAAGAAACAGAGCTTCTACATAACGCTAAATCTGTCCTATATTCCTATATTCAGCAATGGACATTTTACGGCTAATATAGATAAATAGATAGATAGATAACCTTTATTACCAGTATTAAGAAAATAAAAAATTTAAACAACAAAAAGAAGAAAAAACAATTAATGTTGCTGGTAATAGGAGCCGCCTCAGCTGTTGCTATATATGTACATCTCCAGCGAGATGTACCTATATAGCGCTGATTTTCAGGCGGCCTCTTAACTCCTTTACCTTTAGCATGCGTACGGGTCACCAATACCTATTTCTCGGATGGGAGACTCAACACTCTTACATCTTACTTTACTGATTTATGTTATGGTTATGTATACTATTTTATATGTTTTAGATATTGTATGTTTCCCTTTTAAAGTAAAATAAAAATAAAAATAAAATCTCTAACTCTAATAACAAATACATAAAACATTACAAATACATAAAACATTACAACCAAAACTGAAAAGAACAAACTCTGAATAAATTATCGCACCTCACAATGACAACATCATAAAAAAATTAAAAAAAAGAAGAGATGAATATGATGATGATGATGATGAATGTTTGACCAGTCCAACTTCCAAGTAAATAGGTACCAAGACCAGCATTCGGCTTTAAAGAATAAAACATTTATCCAAAACTGTAACTTTTTACTCAGCTTCAGATATGCCAGAACTCCCCACAAATCGTTTGGAACTAACAGCATCGTGGCTCGCGGCGGCCGGAGTGAGATTGCTCGGTGGCGATGCACTTCCTAGCAGCCGCTGTGTCCCCGCACCAGCTCCTCTCGTTGATGAAGACGCTACGGTACCGAGGAGCGACTTCTCGGAGGTAAGTATTGATAATTCAGTTAACTTATCAACGGGTGGCACTTTCCATCTTGTGGACTATTTGTTTTTTTTTTTATATATACAACTTAGAATGGCAAACAAGCTGACGGCCCACCTGGTGGAAAGTGGTAACCGTTTGTCCTATACTGGTACCTCGCAGGGAGAAGGAATTGTTAGCAATAGGAAGTAACGATCTCCACGGCGTCCCACTAGAAACCATCGTGTTAGATTTTTTCCTAGTTGCACCATTATGGGACAACTGACCTGATACACCTATCATCCCTCACGGGGGGGGGGGGGGGGGGATTGTTAGTAATGCGGACTATCAGTCTCATTTCTAGTAATATATCCTATCAGGTCAACCTCCACGTGGTTTCCCCTGGAAACCATTGTGGCGAATTCCAGGTGTATTCATCACGATGGGCTAACTGACCTGTTTTTTCATTCTCATCTATCATCTCTCACTGGTGCCCCACCAGTGTATACTGTTAGCCCAGGTGGGGTTACCATTCCATTATCATCAATTGTACCCTGCACGGTAAACTACCTGCGAGGTTACTGTTCCATTTTTAACTATTAAAAAATCCGGTTTGCTAACAGAGCTGGCTGTGGCGGCTGGTGGACGTTGGTATGAACGGTTCAATCATTACAAACGCTCGCGCGCCAGACTCCATCAGCCGGTTCGAGGCCACCGCCATATGCGTCACGAAAACTGGGGTGGCAGTATCCTCACCGGCCACATTGCAGGTAACTTTATTTTACCAGAGGGAAACTTTGTACAAAAGGCATCTGCATGGACACCTCTATTCCACCTGTGTTTCCGCCGTGAAGCATCTTGCAAGACTGTGTTTGCTTTGACGGGTAGGATATGGCGGTAAAGTTCTTAGGTACGAAGGCATAACACCATAGACCTTACCATTGGTATCCAAGTTATTGATATAAACTACAGCAGATGAGTAAAAAAAGCTTCTCGAATGACGAGTCTGTAAAGGAAAAAGCAGTGTAGGACGTTCCACTCGCTAGATGGAGAGATAGTACCAAATACATTGCAAGTAATCAGTAGATGCAAGTAGTTTAAGACCAGTAGCGCAGCTACCAAAAGGCTGGACGGGGCAGTGCCCCGGGTCACCCAAACTCAGGGTGACTCTCGAATTCTGGCTTACAAACTATAAATTGAACTAGTGAATATTTCTCCCACATTCAGAATATAAATAAACCAGAGTCTAGAAACGCGACTTTAATAATGGAGACTTATTTGAAATATACACGGGAATTCCCAACAAGTCTCGAACTTATATGTTTGAAACTTGCGGGGAACTCCCTTGTATTCTTAGACTAGTTACGACAACCTCAAATGCATTACAGGGAATCGGTGGATGTAGGTGGCTCAGAACCATTATTATGGTTGTCTAGGAGGGAGGGCTACGTTCAGTAGGACAATTAAAGGCTAATATGGTATGCCTTTGTGCCCTCTAACTTCTTTAATCGCCCTTCAGACCGAATGAAGCCATACATTATATTATTTTTCAATTACTTTTCAAGGTATTCCGTGAGTTTTTCATCCACGCTGATGCACCCAAGCGTCTTCGGCGCGGCGATGAAGCAGTCATTCGATACAGACTTTTTAACTATCTTTACGAGCCTCTTAGTGTAAGTATTAATACTTTTTTAAACACACATATATATATATATATATATATATATATATATATATATATATATATATATATATATATATATATATATATACTATAACCTGAAATATTTTTTTGTACTACGAGTAATATAATAAATCAGGAGAGTTTGTTTACTTACACGCGTTTATATCTGACTTGAAAAATTGTTTTTGCATTTCATAGTTTATTTTACAAGAAGTAACATATATTATTAGCATGTGATGTATGAATCCTCTCAATGGGTAGTCGAGGAAGGCAATCGAGTAGTGTAGGTGTGGTGGCGTTCGCAGGTACAAGTGCAGGCGGTGACGGACCCGCACCTCGAGGGCCCCACGCGGTACGTGGACACGGCGTGCGTGGGCGCACGTGCGGCCGCCGCGCGTGCGCTGCGCGTGCGCGCGCGCCTGCCCGCCGCGCCCGCCGCGCGCCTCGCACTGCGCGCGCGCGCACAGCGCGGCCACAACTGCACGCTCACCACGCCCGCACGGGACGCTATCAGGTACGCACGCGCACGCACGCACGCGCACGCACGCGCACACGCATACAGCTGCAGCTACAGACGCATGCTTCGACTATGCCACGAGTATAAAAACTTCATACATACATACGTATCTGTCACGCCAGTCTTCCATTAGGGTAGATCTAAGAACAAGGAATTACATGGAAGGAATGATAAAAACTGTAAATCATATGGTTGCCTCCTTTCTTCTTATGCAAATATAATAAGTAAAAAGAGGACGAAATATGATGTATATTTCGTTGGTATTTTTTCCAATTCATAGCAGATTAGTGTAAAGAAAATGTTGGATATGTAAATTATTTGTCAATGACAAATTTTACATTACTGAATTGTATATTCGACACCGTTTATGGAGAAAGTATGCGAGCAGGTTGTATCTGAATTTAGTAGAATTTTACTGCCGTATAACATTTACACTAACCTGCTATGAATTGACATAAATAGCAACTGATTTTTTGGTAGTTTCCTTCGAATTACTCCAGACTCAAATATGATAAAAAAATTTCACGGTCGTGTCTAAAATCTAGACAATTGGAGCTACAATTTGCTTTTTTTTCTTTTTGCTGTACCGTCATTTTCCTCGAAGTTACAGCTCGTTGAAAATCATCCAAAAATTTGGACTTTTTTTATATATCCTTTAATTTTTGTATCTACATAGTGTATGCCATCTACGACTGGTATTGGATTACACTGGCATAACACCGGTAAGAGGGTATCCAAATATACCCAAATTATTAATCTATAAAACATTCTAATTTCAGCGATGAAGTAATCATTCAAATCACTGTAGATCCAGAGGGCGTGCCGGTGCAGGACCATCAATCTGCATTACTTTGCACTGAAGGTAATAAATTTACTCCCTTATTCATAAAAACTATAACCTACTACAAACCTTTTTTTTTTTTTTGGTGGATGAAAATGGTATGGTAATCCCGCCTGCGCTAACAGTATACGCTGGCGGAGCACCAGTGAAGGGTGATAGATGAGAATGAAAAAAGGCCAGTTAGCCCATCATGATGAATTCATCAGGAATTAACCATGATAGTTTCCAGGGGGAACCACGGGGAGGTCGACCCGGTTAGGTATATTGCTAGCAATGGGATTTTTAGTCTCCATTACTAACAATCCCTTTCCCCCACTACAAACCTATATTAGCAATCGAATTGTTTTGTCACACACTTTCAAATTAGGGATGTAGCATAAAAGAAAGAGACAAAAGAGTTCAATTGCTAAAATAGAATTTTGCGGCTTTTGACGTCTTTATGAATACGTGCATCTAATTAGTAAATTAATATAATTTTTATTTAGCAATTGAAAACAAAACAGTTCAATAGCATGAGGAACAAGAGCGCTGATCATTCTATTTTTTTTCTAAAAATGCAATAAATATACTTATGTATCATCATCATCATCATCCCAGCCATTATCCGTCCACTGCTGGACATACGCCTCCCCCATAGACTATCATAAAGAACGGTCCAGAGCCACTGAGTTGAATTCATCGGTTGACCTCTTGGTCGAAGTTGGACTTACCCATATATATAGAGGTCCTGCTTAGTGTTAAGGAAAAGAGACAAATTATAAGATCTGTTGAGGACAGAAGGGAAAAAATGTTGGGACACTTGATACGACTCGAGGAACTTATGAACATTATAATAGAAGGTAAGATAGAAGGAAGTAGGGGAAGAGGGACAACAAGGCATAGTTACATCAAGAGGTTAAGAGACTCGCTGAAAATCGTAGTGAGTCTAGTGGGGATTTGTCCTACACTACGTTTGCCCGTACGGGATCGCCATTCAAGAACCTTTCTTCCCCATCATTTGCCAGTTCTTCAAGCCATATGACCAGCTCATTGCCACTTTAGCTTGCTTATTCTTCTCTCCATAGAATTAACAGGAAAGCTATCCCAATATAAAATGTAAATATCATATCTTTTCACAGGACGCTTAGAATCCGGGAATTCCTACGTGACGTGGACTTGGCCGGCAGTGGACGCGGTGCCTGGTACAGAAGCGCTGACGGTTTGGGCGGTTGGAGACATTGCTGGACCGTTATTTGCTGTAAGTCATCTCCCGTCGATTTACCAAAATATAATTCCATTGAAGTTAATCTTTTTTTTTATACAACTTAGAATGGCAAGCAAGCTAACAGCCCACCTGATGGAAAATGGTAACCGTCGCCTATAGACATGAGCAGTACCATGGATATAACAGAATATACTGTTTCGCCCATGATACCCCCCATGCGTTGCCATTCGTGAGGACTCAGATGTTATTCCTCTGTACTCAGTAAATTCACGCCATATCCCACCCTTCAAACCGAAACACACACATCCTTCACGGTTGAAACACGAATGGGACAGAGGTACCCAAGCAATCGACTTTTGTACAAAGTCTCCCTCTGGTAAAATAAAATATCTAATTTTATATATATAAATATAAAAAAATCTGCCACTTTCAAGGATGCGGACGCCCTAGTGATGCTGCCGCGAGGTTGCGGTGAACAGAACATGGCGCGGCTCGCCACCAATCTCCTCGCCCTGGAACAGCTGGACTCCACCAGCCCTGCAGCCGTCGCTGCGCGGGAGCACGTCGCCAGGGGTAAATGTCGCCAAATATATTACACACTTTAAACAATGGCCGAGCGGTCAGTTAGTGAATGTAATACAACATTAAAAAAAATAAACAACCCATAGAGCTTATTACAAACTTTTAAAAACTTATAATTTTTTTTTAATTCAAATCATTTATTGCACGAATTAGGGTGCATACATTTTTCATCGTACCACCCACAAAATTGTTTATAATTACTCCTCTCCATGCAAAAGTTGCCTGGAAGAGATCGCTTTTAGCGATAAGGTCGCCCCTTTTCTCATTGTGATTATTTCTTGTAATTATTTATATTTATAATAAGTTTACTATTGTAATCTTTTGGAGGAAACAATAAAGAGTATCTATCTATCTACATTAGATGAAAATATATAACAACATCATCACATCATCATCAGATGATTGTATGTATAGCTTTCTTTCCAGGATTTACTCGCCAGCTCCAATACGTTCACCCATCGGGAGGTTTTAGCGCTTTCGGCGGATCTGACACTGTGCCTTCGACTTGGTTAACTGCTTTTGCGATAAGATACCTACGAAGAGCTCATAAGGTGACCCTAAGAATCCTTATTTAATTTACATTATTATTGATAGTTTTCATGTAAATAGGATGGCAAACAAGCTGACGGTCGACGTAATGGAAAAGCAACATCCATCAGATACGAGTATCAATATGGTCATCGTTTTCTATCGTGTACACTGCTTTCCAGAGGGAGACTTTGTACAAAAGTCGATTGCTTGGGTACCTCTGTCCCATTCATGTTTCTACCGTGAAGCAGTTGTGTTTACATGGCTGTGTTTCGGTATGAAGGGTGGGATATGGCGTGAATTTACAGGGTACAGAGGAATAACATCTGAGTCCTCAGAAATGGCAATGCATGGGAAGTATCATGGGCGAAATAGTATACTCTGTTATATCCATGGCACCGCTCATGTCTATAGGCGACGGTTACCACTTTCTATCAGATGGGCCGTCAGCTTGTTTGCCATTCGAAGTTGTATAAAAAAAAATTCATCTAGTGAGTCATCCATTGAGTTATTTCATGATTTTCCAAGAAACTACATAAGTTCTTCAAAAAAGGAGTAAAGGGGTTTCTTCAGGGTCGGCAACGCATACGTAATGCTCCTGGTATTGCAGACGTTCATAGGCTACGGTAATTGCTTACCATCAGATGGGCCGTATGCTTGTTTGCCACCTCAGTGATATAACTTTTTTTTAATTAATAATTAGCACATTGAAAAGAGTTATCAGAACTTAATCTGTTAAAGAGAACGAAATTAATCACATTCTCTCTCTCTCTGTATCTCTCTCTCTCTCTCAATATATATATTGCTGTCAGATCCTTTCACCAGATCTGCCAGCGCCTCCAGCTATAGACAGAGCCGAGCAGTGGTTACTGAGGCAACAGATGGAGAACGGCTGCTTCAGAAATGAGGGACAAGTGTTCCATAAAGAGCTTAGAGTAAGTATTTCTTTTCATTTCTATGGCTGACAGACTATATGATTATGAAGCATATGACAAGTGCATCTTGGTGTTTTATCTTGGTGCGGTCGATACCGATGACTCAAAATCGTTCCTTATGTCTATTAGGAAAGGGGAAAGGGTTTGTTAGTAATGAATTCTAACAGCTCCACTGCTAGCTATATTCTTTATCAAGTTAACCTCCACGCGGTTTCCCCTGGAAGCCATCGTGGTTAATTCTCCTGAAATTTATCATGATCAACTAACTGAGCTGCTTTCCTCTTCACCTATCATCATTCCCTAGTACCCAGACAGTGTATACTGATAGCACAGGCAGAGTTACCATTATATTATCATCCATTTAAAACACATCACAATAATCCATTTCATTCACAGGGCGGTTTAAATGAAGAAGGGGAAGTAGCCAACGTAGCACTGACGGCGTATGTCATCACTTCCCTCATAGAGAGTTCCACGACTCTATCTTACCGAGTCGTCCAAAATACTCTCTCGTGTTTACGAGCACTGCCTCCTCTAAAGACCAAAACACCCACAAGAATATATGCTCAAGCGCTACTAGGATACACTTTTATGAGACTGAGGAAGTACGAAGATGATCTGAGAAAAACGAATGAAGCGTACTTAATGTGGGAGAGGAAATCGGAGGTGGGATGGCTGGAGAGCGATGAAGAGGTGAGGGAACTGCTGGAACTGTTGAAGATCGCGAAAAGAAGTGGAGATTACGTCTGGTGGGAGACCAGTAAGTGGGTTTACGATAATTTATAAACTAATCATCAGTTATTTTGAATTAGAGTTCTCAATTTAAAGTTTTGAATCTGTTTCTACCTTCAGGTAGCATGATACAATTTATGACTATAAAAAGACTTCAGTCTTTAGTTACTTTCAGGTCCAAGACCTAAACTGACTGCTGAACGACATCTTTTGAGAGTTGTAAATAACTTGCAAATAACTTAAATAATTTGATATATCTACTTTCTGACCTTAAAGCTCAGGCAACTCTATAACTTTCCCCAAATGATAATCATTTGATAACTATAATGATAAGGAAGGTCATGGAGCATCTACTAACAGTTCTCAAATGGCATACCAACGGTATTGGACTTTTTTTTATGGGTAAAAATGGTATGGTAACCCCGCCTGCGCTAACGGAATACGCTGGCGGAGCACCAGTGAAGGGTGATAGATGAGAATGAAAACAGGCCAGTTAGCCCATCACGATGAATTCATCAGGAATTAACCATGATAGTTTCCAGGGAAAACCGCGAGGAAGTCGACCTGGTTGGATATATTGCTAGCAATGGGATTCTCAGTCTCCATTACTAACAATCCCTTTCCCCCCACGGTATTGGACTTATCAGCTAACCAGCGATGTGGTTTAGTGAAGTAGCCTGTCGACTCCGCAGGCAGCCTGGCGACGTCTGTGGAGGCAACAGCGTACGCCCTGCTGGCGCTGTCCCGGTGTGCTGGCGGCCGGCCCGCCGGCTGTGCGCGGGAGGCGCGCGCCGCCATACGCTGGCTGTCCGCGCATCGAAACGCTGCCGGCGGGTTCATATCCACACAGGCACGTGCATTGATTAATACCACTAATATCTTAAAACTAGCTTTTTACCCACTACTTCACACGTGAAGATTTCAGAAATATAAACATCAATTAAATCCACTACTTCTAGATGGTATTTATACACCATCTAGAGGTAGAGGATTAGACAAGACATACACCAGTTTTCACGTTCGAATTTCAGGAGTACAATTGTGAAAACTGTAAAAACCTATCCAATTTAGCATAGTAGTTTAAAACTATGGCTTCCTTTGTAATTTTTATATTTAAGTAGTTTTGTATTATTTATTTAACTCTTTATTGCACCATAAATAAAAATATACAATAACAAGTGAATATACACATAAAGGTACAAAAGGTGGTCTTATCGCTAGGGCAATCTCTTACAGACAACCTTTAGTTAAAGGAACAGATAGAAAAGGGCAGGTGGCGCAAGAGTGAATTAATAATTTTCGTACATAAAATACAAAAACATGTAATGCACAAAAATATCAAATACATATAATTTATTAAACTACTTACTATAACAATATATATATATATATATATATATATATATATATATATATATATATATATATATATATATATATATATATATATATATATATATATATATATATATATATTATATATTATATATTTGTTTCACTAAAAATGTAATACAACAACATATGGTCTAGAGGGCACTAACTCTTGAAACACAGGTTTTTCAAACCTACCTCGGGAGCCAGGGACTTCACTGTAACAATGAGTGAAATAAAGATTTATTATTAAAGACTTAGAATGATGCCAAAACAAACATAGTGATAGGCAAAATCGAGATTTATCTTAGCTATACTGTAATAAGTTTTTTAAAAAACGATATACCTGTCGCTCCTGACGCGACACACGTCGATCTACGGCGACAACCTTCATCAGACTACCTACTAAACTATTCGGCGGTGTAGAGTACCCCATACAGATTAGCTTCTATTTAAATTTTTACAAGAGGGCGCCTCAGTCGATCAAAACTTTTTAAATGTTCTGACAAAAACATAAAACTTAGCCAAACCAATTAAAAGTAATTCGTTTTGCTCATCAACGTCTTCACTAATACATGTTACAGGATACTTTAGTGGCGATAGAAGCACTAACCAAGTGGTCATCAGTTCGACCTCTGACCCCCGCGAACATGACGGTGACCGTCCACACTGGGTCAACTACCAAAACTGTGCATCTCCGACCGAACATCAAGGTGCCAGACCTAATCAAACTGGAGGCATCGGATCAACTCAGTATTGTTGTAAAAGGTAAGCCATCATCGTCACCATTTTCATCATTATATCCAGGAAAGGCCATAACGTAACTAACGCCATTGGGCAAATTTTTGATGGTGTCCCCCTGACGACAAATTATAAGGACTAGACAGGTATATACTACGACCCTTTTACTGAGGCATTCCTGCAAATTTTCCCCTTTCTGCACCAATTATACATACCTGTCCTGGCGCCTAGCTACTGTTTGTCACTGGGGATCAGCCGTTCAATCAAATACAATTGTTTACTGATGCTGATAATCCTTTAGCACCCATCTTAGACCTTTTATCCTGATCTTATGGAAAAAGGTGCAGTTTTTTTTTTATGGATAATAAAAGAATATTAACCCACCTGCGCTCTTGGTATATGCTAGAGGAACACCAGTGAAGGTTGATACGTGATTACGAAATCAGATCTGTCAACTTCACGTGAGGAATTTACCAAAAGATAACCACGACGGTTTCCAGGAGGAAATGCGTGAAATTTAGAATATATTACTAGCAATAGGGCATCTAATCCCTTTTAGATAGATATATACACTTCCAAAGCTCAGGTTCTTTTTTAATTTAAATTCATTTAATTCCAGACAACAAGATCTATTTTGTTAGTAGCAGACTTAAAATTAAGTTTTTAAAATGGTTAATTTAATAAATCTACCTGAGAGGCATTTTTTTTTGATGCGTGAAAATGGTATGGTAACCCCGCCTGTGCTAACGGGATATCCTTCACTGGCGGAGCACCAGTGAAGGATGATAGACGAGAATGAAAACAGGCCAGTTAGCCCATCATGATGAATTCATCAGGAATTAGCCATGATAGTTTCCAGGGGGAACCGCGAGAAGGTCCACCTGGTTGGGTATATTGCTAACAATGGGATTATCAGTCTCCATTACCAACTATCCCTTTCCAAATCAGGACATGGTTATTTTGTGTTTTACTCATCGTCCTGACGAAATGCCCTATTACAGGTGCATGGGCATCCTTAGCTGTCATTTTAAAAATGGTGTTGTTGTTTAATGGATGAAAATAGAATGGTAACCCTGCTTATGAATCAGTAAAAAATTATAAAGCAGATCAGTTGGCCCATTGTGATGAATTCGTCAAAGATTAATCACGATAGTTTACCTGTTAAGGTATATAGCTAATAATGGGCCTGATAGATCTCATTACTAACAATCCTTTTCCCCTAATGCCCAGGTTCAGGTTGCGCCCTGGTTCAAGCTACCCGCTCGTACCACACGGTAACTGCAGCTGAGAGCGATGACAAGCTGCTGTCCGTGCAGGTGACCGTCCACACCGACGGCGCCTTCCACTGCACCACCAACACCAGCTGCTTCTGTGCTGCTGTTATTGAGGTATACATAGAGTCCGTAAACGATCAAGAGGCTCGAGTCAAGCATGTACATTATCTTCTTGGATACCTCTGTCTGTATTCATGTTTCTACCGTAAAGCAGCTGTCCTTGCATCGCAGTGCTTCTGTTTTAAGGATGAGATAAGGCAGTGAAATTACAGGATGCGAAGATATAACACGGTTACCCTCAAAAATGGTAATGCATGAGAGGTGCCGTAAGCGTTACAGTGTTTTCTAATGTCTATGGTGCTGTTCATTTCTATAGAAGAAGATTACCACCTTCTATGCACATGTCTTCACGAAGCACTTTTATATTATTTAACAATGCCCTTCCATCATGATTGTTTCGGTACAATTGGCTCACATTTGTAAAACATTGTGTCTTGGTAATCCTATATGGACTTCCGTGATTCAGGTTCGTGTAGTGCGGGATCCAATGTACTCGCGTTGCATATTTCTTGTGTTTAATCAATAAATAAATAAATAAATTCTATCAGGTTTGACGTCTGCTAATTTGCCTTCCTGAGTGCCTTAAAATATACGTAGTTTTCCTCGTAAAATATCAAACCATACAATCACAACTGCTCCACGAGAGAAAGAGTCATTCCTTCAGACAACCTTTGTACGGTCTCTTTCTGAACACAGAATGTTAATTATGTAATAGTCGTGTCTACCGTTAACTGTCCATTGCTGAACACAGCCTTCCCTCCTCCCATAAGAGTAATTTTACTAGTTTAAAAGTAATAGGTAAGTAATTCTACCTATGCTTAGTATAGGCGGGTTAGTAACCACAGTCTGACTTTTGGTGATATTTTAAGAGGAACACTGTTGTCCATCCCTCCACTATAAGCTCCCTTATTCAATTTTTACGATACCCACGGGAAAGGACGGAGTGGCCCATTCTATACCGGGATCTACACGGCTGATTATGTATATAGTATAATACCAAAATATATGTAATAATATTACAATAATAATAGGCTACACCCTTTCGCGTGTGTTTCGTAAAGAACGACTAAGGGAGGGCGAGTGAGGGGCAGCAGTATTCCTCTTAAAACATCTCCAAAGCCTAACTGCGGTTACCAATCCGCTACAACAAACTACTGGCAAAACCCCCTAGGGGGAGGTTTATGTTCAGCAGTGGACAGTTAAAAGCTGATATCATGATTATGAATATGGATTTTGTTGGTTCAGGCATGTGTAATGTGGAGCGGATTGTTTCCGGAGATGGCGCTACTGGAGTTGACTCTGCCGGGCGGGTTCGGCGCGGACGCACAACTGCTGTATTCACAGCTGCGACAAACCGATTCACGTAAACCTACTGAAAGCACTTTATTTTTAAATTCATTTCAGATTATAAAATTGGAAACTTGCAGGATATTCCAGGGAAATCTTTTTAATCCATGAAAATGGAATGGTAATCTCGCCACAAGTGAAAGACGATAAGTGAAGATAAAAGCAAGTTGGTTAGCCCATCGTGACGAATTCTACAATAATTAACCACGACGGTTTCCATGAGATACCGCGTTAAAGTCAGTCTGATAGTGTATATTGCCAGAACAGGGCTATAAGACCCCATTACCAATTCCTTTTCCCCATATTAGAAGTAGGTAGGTACAGACGTACAATATAGACACGTTAATGTGACTAAAGTTCTACTCTTATTATTGTTGCCAAGCAACTATACATACATTATCAGTATTTTAGTCTAAATGGTGACGCATGGCAGTAAAATTACATGGTACAGCCACATAACACCATGGTCCACAGAAATGACAATGGTAGTATATTTTGTATTCTTGTTTGCTATTCCATGTTACATTAAAAAATTAAACTTCCAGTACTGCGTCGCATAGAACTAAGTCCAAAAACTGGGCGTACAACTTTCTACCTGGCCACTCGTGACGGCAGCGACACCCTGGGCAGCGGAGGTCACCAATGCTACAAAGTCCACGCCGTCGGCCCCAAGACTAGAACCAAGCCAGCGCATGTCAGAGTCATGGACTATTACAAGCCTTCTGTAAACGATACACAGGTTAGTTTCTCGGTTTCTAATAATTGTTTGAAACCCTCTGGCGTTAAAAGTTACGTCTTTGACGTGCAGCTATGTATCTTCCAAAATACGAAGCAAATAACAATTCAGAAAAGATTTATCCTGAAATTTGGTCTTACGACCTTCAGACTGACTTCGAATGTGATCAAAAATACTATGTCGACATAAATTTCCAATTGCAGTTATGGAAAACACCGTTAAAAAACTAAACAAGGCTTGTTTTCTACCACATTGAATTCGAGAGTTAAACTCACTACAATAGTAACAATCGATAAATGCCAAGACCTTCGTTCAATGCACTATTTAGAATTACACTATTAATCTTTTTTATTTAAGAAACTCTATATAATCTCTGGTATGTTTCACTTGCAACATATTTCCTATTCGTTCATATCGGTCGTTAACTGTCCACTGCTGAGCATAGACCTTCCTCTATTAGGAGGTTTTGCCAGTAGTTACCACGTTGGCATTACCATGCGGTTTGGCAACCGTATTTAGGCTTTGTTGATATTTTAAGAGGGACGCGCTTACCCATCCGTCGACCATTAAGCTCCCTTAATTACCTCTTACAACACCCATGGGAAAAAGGGCCATATTTCAGCAAATTATAAATTAATTTAAAACAAATCTGTATTAACGATTGTTCTCATACATACAGATGTACACAATACCTGAAGACTGTCCAGCAAGAGTATCCTTCGAAGCCAACCAATATCACGCGTCTGACAATTTATACAACGAAGCGAGATCACTCTCCGGAGATATAGCTATTATGAACGAGTATTCGTTTGAAGATATACCTGAAGGTATACCTCTTGATGATCCCCTGTACGACAATTTAACACAAGATAATAAAGAAAATATAAATCAAATTAATGAAACACAAGTATTAAAAGAGACAGATGAGTTTGTCGCTAATCATCATGATGATGATAATGATGATGAAATACCAAAAGAAGCAGATAAATCTGTCACTCTCAATAGAAAAGAAGATATAGACCCAGTTGCAGATACTTTAGGATTAGAAGTGATAGAATCAACTGCTGATGATTTAAAAATCAGTGTAAATGAAAACACAAATAGTAGTGAGGTCAATGTAAAAGATGATCTTAAAAACTTTGATTCAAATATAAATGATCCGAATGCAATTGTAACTCATGAAAGTATACATGAAATTAATAGTAGTAGAGTTCCTACTTTGAAGGAAAATAAAGTTACAGAAATAAATGAAAAAGATCATAAAATCGGACAAGAGCAAAACATCAGAGATGTTAGCAGTAATAGAACAGACTTCGATAACGAAATCACGAAAAATGCCGAAATCAAACATAAAATAGAGGAGAGAGACGATACGAAAGAAAATCAGAATCCTATTCAGAATCCAACGCTATCGAGTTTCCACGTGATCGACACGGAGAAAGATCTAGAAGTTCCATCCGGGATAGAAGGACCAGTTCCCGTTATAGTGTTGCCACCACAGAATTTTATGACGGTCGCTCTACCACCACCGGGTATTGTATTTAATTTAATCCTTTGTCTAAGAGAAACCCCATGTAAAGACAATTACTGAATTTAAATTTGATAGATTTTCCATTTAATGGAATTAAAATAGAATGGTAGTCGCCCCTACACTCTTGAGATACACTGAGGAACTCCTAACAATGATAGCTGAGGACTAAATCGGATCAATTGACCCATCGTGGTAAGTTCACTAGAAGACTACAGTATGGGGTTCTTCAAGAAGGATATATTAAGGTTTCTTCAGAATTGGCAACGCGCACGTAACGCCCCTAGTGTTGCAGGCGTCCATAGACTACTGTGACCGTTTACCTTCAAATGGGCTATATGTTAGTTTGCCACTTTTATAGTATAAAAAAAAAATAACCACATTTATTTCCAGATAATTAACAAAGTATACTGCTATCAATAAAGACTAACTTCCCATTGCTAAAAAGCAGCTGGAAGACTATTACTAGCAATACTATGGCAGATTTACCTCCACACGTTACCTTTGAAAACCATCGTGGTTAAATCCAATGAATTTGTCACAATAGGTCAACTATCATGTCTTCATCTTCACCTATCACCCTGCAATACTGTACAGGATAATAGGCGAACCATTAACGCAGGCAAATACGATTCCATTCTCATCCATTATAATTAAAAATTGTCCTAAAAAAATCTACTTAAATTGTTACATAACCAGTTATTTTCATTTAATAACTAAACTACATAATCGATTTTGATAAAACTTCTATAGGAGCTATCTGAAAGTATATGCTTTCAAATAAATAAAGAATTTTTCAAATCGGTTTAAAACTGACGGAGTTATGAAGTTACAAACATAAAAGAATACAACTCTTTACTCCTTCTTTTTGAAGACAGTTGACACATATTATCGTTAATCAGTAATAATAACTACCTTCCATATTACAGGAGTACATCTTCCACCATTACCTGGTAATGGACTGAGCAAAGGATTTCAAATGTATCCTACCCCGCATACATACCCATACTACCAACGGAACCCATACTATAGAAAATATAGAAGATACAGCGCTCCTAATGGATAAGTTAACATTATATATATATATATATATATATATATATATATATATATATATATATATATATATATATATATATATATATATATATATATCTTTATTGCACTTGTAAATTACATTGTTAATGCATTTATAAATATTGTGAGCAAGGGTGATCTTATCTCTGACAGAGATCTCTTCCAGTCAACCCAATGCAATTAGAAAGCATGTTGTTAGCAGGCAGCTGAAGTGCTATCAATATCATTCAATTTTCTCCAATACATTGGTTAATATAGATAGTCCTTATAGGTTATTTTTTATGCAACTTAAAATGGCAAACAAACTGACGGCCCACCTGATGGAAAGTAGTAACTGTCGCCTATAGACATGAGCAGTACTATGGACATAACAGAGTATACTGTTTCGCCTAAGACACCCCCCATGCGTTGCCATTCCTGAGGGCTCAGGTGTAATTCCTCTGTACCCTCTAAATTTGCTGCCATATCCCACCTTTCAAATCGAAACACATCCATGCAAACACAACTGCTTCACGGTAGAAACTTGAGTGGGACAGAGGTACCCGAGCAAATGACTTTTGTACAGTCTCCCTCTGGTGAGGGAGTCTTACTGAATCATAAAAATTATGTTTCTAAAAGGTACAGAGCCTAGGTCCAATCAAAGTACATTGTATATAAAAAAATATATAAATAAAGATTTTTAAAATTACAATTTATACAGGCAAGACATCTGAGTCCTCAAAAATAGCAACGCATTAGAGGTATCATGGGCGCACAGTACACTCTGTTATGTCCATAGTACTGCTCATGTCTATAGGCGACGGTTACCACTTTCCATCAAGTGGACCGTCAGCTTGTTTGCCATTCTAAGTTGCATAAAAAAAGTTTTGAAATTCATATTCAAGCTTTTAATACAATTTATTAACTTTGAAAATGTCATTTTTGAATAATTATTTCGTTTAAATACACTATCAGAACTTAACTCGAAGAAAAAGGTTTTACAGGTACATAGTACTTATATACTTGCTTCTTTATTGCCGACGTTTCGACGTGGATTGTACCACGTCGTAGGTACGACAAAAAAACAAGTCTGTAGGTAATATTTACCTGCAATTTTTCATCGCGTTAAATCTTGATAGTGTATTTAAATCACCAAATAATTTATTATTTTAATTTATCCAATAGATTACATATTCTTGCATTTTATTCTCTTTTTTTAATCTTGGAAACGTGACGCATTGTAATAAACTTTCAAAATAACCGAAAATTGTGTAGTAAATTAAATTTATTTTGTTTTATACCAACAATCTGTTTTTGTCCATTAATTAAAGAACTAAACAATGACTGAGCCCAGAAATATCTCTGAACATTGTAATGTAATGTAAATTGGACTCTTTTTTCCGCACTTAGCCTCTCATTTGGGCCGTTGTGCGTATGAGTCGTGGCTAGTACAGCCAACCCAGCTCCGCCCAGAAGCGCAGAAGCTTCCTGGGATCTTCACAGGCCTCACGGAGCGACCTCACCGTTCCGAGGATTTCTAAACATTGAAGGGCCACAGCTTCACATTCCAGGATTATGTGAGCAGCCGTTTCTTCGGCGTTAACAACCTCGACATAGAGGGCTGTCTGTGGCTCCTATTGTGTATAATTGTTTGTTTAATGAACAATGGCCCGTTATTACCCCTATCATTGTTTTAAGGTGTTTTTTTTTCTATCTAAATGTAATCTACGAACATTATTTCAAAACAAAGTTTTGCATTTATAATAGTCGCCAACTTCTAAATACTAAGTTCTCTTTATAAAAATTAATTATTAATTAACGCAATAAGTTATGCCTTAAGTTAATTTTTGCTGTAAATACAGTGCTATCGAATTTATTTATTCTAATCTCAATTTTTATTATCTAAGTTAATTTTTAAATAAATTATATATTTGTATACTTAATAAAATAAATAAATACCTATACTCAATGTAAAAATACAAGTAAATATCATGTTTTTTCTTTTTTTTTTTTCTTAATCATAAACGATTATAATACGATATTAAATGTATCTTCACACAAGTGCTTCGAGAAAACCGATCAACTTTTTCATACAATTTTGCGTGATAAATGAATTATGAGTGATTCCTTTATAACTTCTATATTTATTTTGTCTTATTAATTCTGCGTCTTTTTAATGCGTAAACACTCATTTTATTTATTTATTTATTAATTAAATATAGATACGTCAAGATATATTGCGTGCGTAAATTTTTAGAACATTAATAAAAAACGAGTCAGCTAATTTGACAATTGGCTGACAAAAAGTTGACCCGTTTTTGAGGCTCGATGCTCTATCTATTATGTCCATAGTACTGCTCATGTCTATAGGCGACGGTTACCACTTTCCATCAGGTGGGCCGTCAGCTTGTTTGCTATTTTAATTTGTATAAAAAAAAAATCGATACTTTACGAGTATAATAACCAATTATGGTTTTTTTTTTTTTTAAAATTGTGTTCTTTTTTTAATTATTATTTCCTTGCCTTCAATAAAATCCAACGTAAAATGGTTATGTCATAATAGCGTATTACTCATTTATGAAATGTGTATGTATAGAATTAGATCATACAACAAAGTCGTAGCTGCCACTATAAATATATGCATGTTTTTGTATATAGGCTGTGAATTACAATATGTTAATTCTAAACTGTGTTTTATTGTATACCTAATACCTGTGTAAGGGGGAAAGGGATTGTTAGTAATGGAATTTGATAGCCCCATTGCTAGCACTATACCCTGTTAGGTCGACCTCCACGTAGTTCCCCCTGGAAACCATCGTGAACAATTCTTGTTGAATTCATCACGATGGACTAAATGACCTGCTTCATCCTCACCTATCATCCTTCACTGGTGCTCCACCAGCGTATCCCGTTAACGCAGGCGGGGTTACCATAGGCGGAGAAACCGCGAGGAGGTCGACCTGGTTGGGTATATTGCTAGCAATGGGATTCTTAGTCTCCATTACTAACAATCCCTTTCCCCCGAATCGAAGCATTTGGCGTTCCATTGTTTCTGCCCACCGTAATGGGAGACAGGCGTGACAGATATGTATGTATGTATGTAGAATATGTTGATCAAGACACAACACAAGCAAATATAAGAAAATCGTCTTTATTTTCTATATGACATCATTGTAGGGTACTGGAATGCGTGAGAATTATAATTAAATGGCCTCAGTTTTATAAATAACTGTCGTGCGTTCTATATTAAAAGGTTAAAACGAGATCGACTGGTCGTGCCTATTTATATTATTCTATCACGTTATACATTACCAAACTGCAATAGATAGAGGGAGACTTTGTACAAAAGTCGATTGCTCGGGTACCTCTGCCCCATTCGTGTTTCAACCTTGAAGCAGTTGTGTTTGCATGGCTGTGTTTCGGTTTGAAGGGTAGGATGTGTATTCATCACAATGGGCTAACTGACCTGGCTTGCTATCCTCACCTATCATCCCTCACTGGTGCCCCGCCAGCGTATACCGTTAGCGCAGGCGGGGTTACCGTTTTATTACCATCCATTAAAAAAACCCCTAAATACCTAAAACTGTTTACTATTCTGGTTATCTACTTTAATTTACGCTGAAGATTAATTAAATTTACATGGACTTAAAAGCGTAAGAAAACAAGGAAAATATCAATGTAACTAAGTCAAAAGATACAAGTGTCTCTCGGCCTATAGCTGGCATTAATAAATATATTACAGTTCGGCAAACGCAGTATACGGGGCGAGCTCACAGTTAAAATGCATGAGTCAACAGCGACCGTGTTATCGTGCCCCCTTATCGAGCCAGAATACTTTAATCAAGTTACACACGTTGTCTTACCATGAAATAGTAATCTCTACTTTACGATAAAACTTTTTTTTACTCATTAAGTATACAAAAGAGTAAATGAATAAATAAAAATTAAATTTGCCATGCATGAGTGTTAAATAAACATATGTTTAGAAATTGTAGTGATACGCAATCTAATTGGTTAAACTTACAATGGCAAACAAGCTGGCGGCCCACTTGATGGAAAGTGGTAACCGTCGCCTATACACATGAGCAGTACTACCGATCTAACAGAATATACTGTTTCGCTCATGATACCCCCCATGCGTGGCCATTCCTGAGAACTCACGTGTTATTCCTCTGTACCCTGTAAATTCACTGCCTTATCCCACCCTTCAAACCGAAACACAGCCATGTAAATACAACTGTTTCACGGTAGAAACAAATAGAACAGAGGTGTCCAAGCAAACGACTTTTGTACAAAGTCTCCCTCTGGTCCCCATATATCCACATATAGGGATACGACTACATAAAATACTACTATTTCATACAATAATATATTAAATGTCGCATTCGTTTAATTTGCGTTACACGCAGATACCTCAGAGCGTACGTTTATAACTACGTTATTGTAGATACATTAATGTATAATTAACAACTACACTCTTTAGTACAATCGTTGTTTCTAACGGAAATTATTCCATCATAATCATTTACAACTCATTTCATTGTTTTATGCTAATTATGTCAAGTATTTTTTTTACACGTCTTAGAATGGCAAACAAGCTGACGGCCCACCTGATGGAAAGTGGTAACCGTCGCCTAAAGACATGAGCAATACCATGGACATAACAGAGTATACTGTTTCGCCCATGATACCCCCCATGTATTGCCATTCCTGAGGACTTAGAATGTTATTCCTCTGTACCCAGTAAATTCACGATATATTCCACCCTTCAAACCGAAACACAACCATGGAAACAAAACTGCTTCACGATTGAAACACGAATGGGACAGAGGTACCCAAGCAATCGACTTTTGTACAAAGTCTCCCTCTGGTAACGTAAAATAACGACCTCATTGATCGAACTTCTCGTTTGTTATTTTTAAAACTTGCTTATAACTTTTATACCAATGAGGTGACAATCTAGCATACGACCCATCTGATGGTAAGCGGTTACCGTAGCCTATGAACGCCTGCAATACTAGGGGTATTACGGGCGCGTTGCCGACCCTGAAGAAATCTTATTATACCCCTTTTGAAGAAGTTACTGTTCGCTCTTTGTAACAATTGTTTCGATCACATTCGAAAGCCTTCTTCAGGGGACGTACAGCACTTTACGTCACATCTCGCCTCATACCAGGGGGAAAGATTTGTTTTTAATGCAAACTATTTTTTTTAATACAACTTAAGGGGTGGCCTATTCTCTGCCGGGGCCGCACGGGACATACCTAGTAGATACATAAATAAAAATATTTTAGACGGAAGATTTAATGATAAACTCTAGTTGACCCATCACGTCAAATTTACCATAAATTAACCACAATGATTATTCATTGATTTTTCAATCTTGCCTATCATCCTCCCTTGTACCCCAACAGAGTAAACCAATAGCTAAGAAGCGATTACCATCCCATAAAAGCTTCCCATAGGACCTTCAAAAAGGTCTCGTTTAATTATTGTACGTTTAATTCGTACAGATGATTTTTACGCAATACGGCGCAAACGAATTGTTTCGCTGTTGGATAGGGTGCGTGTTAGCTCAAACAGTGTCCTGAAGACAATTGCTGGTAAAATGGGCTGTCCCATCCTAAAATATTGGGTGGGACAAGTTATCAATGCAAGAGCGTCATGACCGCTCATTTACTAACATAGGTTAAGTCAATTTATAACTAACAAAATGGGCCTTATGTAGTCTGATTAAATGAATATTAATATTATTAATTTATCGTAACTTTAAGTCACGCAATTGGTGTATTTGCATGTTTTTTTTTAATGGGTGATAATGGAATGGTAACCCCACCCGCGCTATTGGTATACACCGGCGGGGCACCAGTGAGGGATGATAGATGAGGATGAAGCAGATCAGTTAGCCCATCGTGACGAATTCAACAAGAATTGTTCACGATGGTTTCCAGGGGGAACCACGTGGAGGTCGACCTGATAGGGCGTATTGCTAGCAATGTCGAACTCCATTGCTAACCCTTTCCCCCCATTTGCATGTTATTATGTTAAAGCAAGTAGATATTAAATACATTAATAATAATTTAAATGGCAGTTTGATAATGTTGCAAACAGTATACCATATATGAGTTAATTTCGGTGCATTATGCAATTTCTTAATTCTCTAACCAATTAATGCAAATATGAATATGTATATGCAACTAGTACATTGAAACTAGAATAATTTATGAATGCCCCATAAGTGTTAGTAATTTATAACTATTTAAATAGGGGGGAAAGGGATTGTTAGTAATGGAGACTGAGAATCCTATTGCTAGCAATATACCCAACCAGAACCTCCTCGCGGTTCTCCCTGAAACTATCATGGTTAATTCTTGATGAATTCATCATGATGGGCTAACTGGCCTGTTTTTATTCTCATCTATCACCCTTCACTGGTGCTCCGCCAGCGTATCCCGTTAGCGTAGGCGGAGTTACCATACCATTTTCAACCATCAAAAAAAAATATTTAATTAAGTACCTAACTTACTTATTTGAAATAGTTAAAACTTACTTAACGTGATGTAATGATGTAACGATTAATAATATAAACAGATTATATTATTGTACTTAATTTATTGTATTTTCCACGTGTAGTCCGGTCAATTTAGACATAAAAATAGTAGTCAAATAGCGAAAATTCCCACAGAGCCAAAAATTGGTGGAGACCTTGGGTTCATCATTATTAATAAAAATTTAAAAATCCCCATCGATCCGGTTGGTGCGTTAAAAGTTATTCGGGGTCAAAGGTCAAAAAATTAGGTTTTTTGGATTTTTCTCGAAAACGGTAAGTTTTTTCAAAAAAGTTCCTCAGGCCAAATTTATAGCTCTTCAAATTCTCTACAAAAATGGTCCTTATGATTTTTTTCGAGAGAGTTACCATTACTGAGATATCGCGAATCTAAGCGGTACGTTATACATGATATGCACACATAGCCACGTATATACATATTTAGGCACCTAAACAAGTAAGAATGCCTATTGTGTCTCTTTTTTGTATACTATACTATTCTAAAAACATAAACCCAAAAGATAGTCAGTCCCTAACTGAATCCCCTCTACCCTTATGACCTTGAAAAACATCTGGGTATTCTATTGTCCACATGGTGTCGTTCATATACCTGCTTCATTTAGTGTTAAACGTTTGGTTGAAGTGAATATACGTATTTATTACAGGCGTCTACCATTTACGTTATTTGTGCCATTAAATATCTTAAAAAATGTCTCAATTTTGCTTTATTTGTAATAAACTTTTGACTGAAGAAGAAACAGTTGAGGTTAGTCGTGGAATGCCAACTTTAATCGAGGCCAGTGTCGCGAGAGGTGATGAGTTTGCTGGATATTTAAGAAGTGAAAAGTCCGTTACGATTCACGTGACTTGTAGAAAATCGTATACTCGGAAAAGTTCACTTGTAGCTATAAAAAGACAACGTGAGGATGAACAGGTCAGTACTTCAAAAGTAAGTCCACCTCGTACCAGAGCGCGAGTAAGTGTTAAGTACTAAAGCTACTTTACTACCAATGTTAGGTTTTAGGAAAGATTTATAACAACAGTCATGGTATTTAGCATCAGCAGCAACTAAATCATGCTCAAAATTAATACGGTCCATAAGAGCTTTTGATGCATCATCAGAACGATTTTTAGCTATTTTCAAAAGGGATTCTTTAAATGAGAGCGTACTAACTTTATAAATTTTTTTTCGAAGATGCTTAGATTTCTTAATCTCAGCCTCTTCATTGGCTTCATCGCCACAAAAAAAGCAGTATTTCTTAAAACAAAAGTCGGATTCACTTACTCGCGCTCTGGTACGAGGTGGACTTACTTTTGAAGTACTGACCTGTTCATCCTCACGTTGTCTTTTTATAGCTACAAGTGAACTTTTCCGAGTATACGATTTTCTACAAGTCACGTGAATCGTAACGGACTTTTCACTTCTTAAATATCCAGCAAACTCATCACCTCTCGCGACACTGGCCTCGATTAAAGTTGGCATTCCACGACTAACCTCAACTGTTTCTTCTTCAGTCAAAAGTTTATTACAAATAAAGCAAAATTGAGACATTTTTTAAGATATTTAATGGCACAAATAACGTAAATGGTAGACGCCTGTAATAAATACGTATATTCACTTCAACCAAACGTTTAACACTAAATGAAGCAGGTATATGAACGACACCATGTGGACAATAGAATACCCAGATGTTTTTCAAGGTCATAAGGGTAGAGGGGATTCAGTTAGGGACTGACTATCTTTTGGGTTTATGTTTTTAGAATAGTATAGTATACAAAAAAGAGACACAATAGGCATTCTTACTTGTTTAGGTGCCTAAATATGTATATACGTGGCATATGTGTGCATATCATGTATAACGTACCGCTTAGATTCGCGATATCTCAGTAATGGTAACTCTCTCGAAAAAAATCATAAGGACCATTTTTGTAGAGAATTTGAAGAGCTACAAATTTGGTCTGAGGAACTTTTTTGAAAAAACTTACCGTTTTCGAGAAAAATCCAAAAAACCTAAATTTTTTACCTTTGACCCCGAATAACTTTTAACGCACCAACCGGATCGATGGGGATTTTTAAATTTTTAATTATAATGATGAACCCAAGGTCTCCACCAATTTTTGGCTCTGTGGGAATTTTCGCTATTTCAAATGTCTAGATAGACCGGACTAGTGGTTCTGGAACAGAATGGGCCACCACTTCTCTTCCCGTGGGTGTCGTAAGAGGCGAATAAGGTCACTTAATAGTCGAGGGATGGGCAGCAGCGTCCCTCTTAAAGCATCGCTAAAGCCTAACTGCGATTGCCAACTCTACTGCCAAGCTTGGTAACTACTGACAAAACCCCCCTAGGGGGAGACTTATGTTCAGAAGTGAATAATGATGATCAACATGTATACAAAATTTCAGCCAGTGCCTACTTCATGATTGTTAGTATACTGAAAAAGAACTACTTCAACTAAACACATCAGTATCAGACTAACACAGCAGTAAATGCAAAAAGATGCATCAAAATCGGTGAAGAATTTATCAAAGATATAACATAGGATACCCACAAAAATATATGTTGAATTAAATACTAATAACTCTTTAAAATCATTCAAAAATGTATTTAAGATCAGAATGTGAAAAAGATTTTACATTTATACTGTTAAAATTTAAAAATAGTATTTATTTTAAAATACTTTCCATAGTGTTCCTATGTGTTGTCCCCATAAATCATACTTTCCATAATAAAAAAATACCAGGAAACACCAGATAATGCCTGCCAGTAGATAGCAACAGCACTGATAAGCAATACCATGAAGAAATTAAAGGAAACAGACATTAGCAACATTTTAATATATATTTTTATTCAAATGAATTTAATCATACATTACAGAATACTTGAATTTTTAATGTATGTTCTTTATTAAAAATAATTATAATAATTACAAAATAAACTTACAGAAGCTATAATTATTATATTATATAAAAAAAAAATTGTTACGTTACCACTTGCACTCTCAAGCCATAATGTATGGACAATATTTTCGTTTCTCCTCTGTTCAACATAGAATACGTTTGAGCAACACTCCGCAGTACATATCAATGTATCTTTGTTTTACAATTTGAAATATTCATGAATATATTGTGCTATATATGCTCATAAACGCCGCATTAAAGCTACGTGGACAATTTGTTAAATTAACTACAATTTAAATGCACCATTCGGGACCTGGCCCTTACACAGTCCTGTTCAGTTTCACATAACACAGTTATGCAAGCAATACTCAGCGACAATGTAAATAATACTGATTACACAAGATACAACGGTGTGGATGGACTTGTTGGAGTATTCTACATGTATGATCAACAATCATACACAGTTATGATATTAAATTAAATAATTTCAATTTAGTTAGCTTGTTTTAATTGACATGCATTTTGTTTCAATTAAAATGGTACAGTTTATCATATTGCTTACACAACAATTCAACCATTCTCAGAAAGAAAAATAAATTAACCACAGACATGATGTCTCAGTCAGTCCTACAGAGCTAATCAGATACTGCTCTAGAGCAGTTCCACACCTACATACAACATATTCTGTACGTACAGTGCTACCAACATAAATGGACAACATGTCGACTCATCATTGCCCAAAACAGAAATGTAGTCCAATTATTGGCCACTTCAGTGTGCTGCATGCTCATCAGTAACCCTTCTATATGGAGAGTAACAAAATGCAATAAAATTCAACAGTTAAGATAGCGATTTCTCTATATATTCATAGATAAATACGCGCCGGGAGACAGGACACCCCCGGTGCCCATATACATTTGAACAAGATTTATTCTTACGCGAATATGTACAGAGGCATGGAGCGGCCGCTGCGGCTCAGAGCGCAGCGGCAGGACATCATTGGCTCTTCAGCTCCTTACCGATCGTGTACGAGACAAGCCGTGCCCAATCGATCTTGCTACGGGTCACCGGCAACTGTCGCCGGAGCGCCTTGAAGGTCGTGTCACTCATAGTCTTGTAGTTATCAGAGATAGCCGTCTGGTACGCGTTCTCCGCATCACACACAACCCGGACAAACTCTTTCGCGGTCGCCGCCTCGCCTGTCGCCACGAGCGGCGCTCGAACCTCCTTAGAGCTAACCAACTGCACGTTCCCGTCTTCGTAGTAGTGCACCTGCACGCGAAGCATGCCTCGCAGTTCCGCTGGGCCGCCGCCAACAGTCAAGGACCACAGTGAACGCCATCGGCCATTCCAATAGTTCTTCGGCTGGAACTGGTGGTCCTCGATGCATGCGACGAGTGAAACCGCCCCGTTCTCGAGGGCCCGGCCTACAACTAAGCTGGCACCGTGTTTATAATGTGCGGCCACGTACGCCGTCAACTCCTCGTCGAGTGCTGCCCGCCAAGGCTCCGCTACTCTGTCTGGCTCATACGATTCATATTCGGACGCTTCCTTGCGTAAATGATCGTATTTGAACGATCGTTTAGAGCGTGGATCAAAGAATCTACCGCCGCCGAGCTCATTATGATCGGTTATTAAAGTATGCAGCTCGGAGCCTTCAAGTCGAACGGGCGTGAGCTGGTCCTTGTTGTATGACGCAAAAGCACCGCTGGCGCCCTCCTTCAAGAGACTGTCATTGTTCAGAAGGACTCTCACATCGTTAAATACCTCGTTGAACTCACCAGGTGGTGAATGAAGAATAAAATCCGATACAATTCTAACTTTTTCCTGATCACTTATCACTTCGTCACCGTCCGCCGCCATTTTTGATACTTTTGACACTAATGACGGGATTGACGGATTTGCAAATAAAAATTTATCTGTCGCATGCGTTCACAATAAAAGTATTTTAGAAAGTAATACAATTTTTTTTACAATTAATTATTTTAAATTATTTAAAATATAATATTTTTAGCAAAAACAATGTCCTTCTGAATTCATATTTTATTTATACCATAATAGTTACAAGTAATAGTCGATTCTATTATTCTTAATTACAAATATTATCATAAATGTGTACGTTATTCCTTGTTTTTAAATGAAAACCTAAATCAAGTTCGCTTTTATTGGCATATATATAGTATAAGATATAATATTATAGCGATTGATAGTTGTTTTATGATTACCGCTTCGAAACAAAAATATAGATGCTCCGGTTTTATTTATTTATTCTTACAAGCGACAATGAAAACATCCACAGAGCTTACTGTATTGATAATTGTATATTTTTACGAATGTATGACAACGTTTCCTACGTTGAACGTATATTGTCTATAATTTAACAATTTTCAATATTTATTAATTTATTTGCCGATTACCTTATCCATTATTCAATTACAAAAATTATTCTATCTTTAAAATCGAACGATGGACTTATTGAGATCATCATTGATTAAATGATACATACGTACGTGTATATCCATATGAAATAAGGGGGAAAGGGATTGTTAATAATGGGGAGGTTAATCCCCACTGCTGTCGATATACTCCGTCAGATTAATCCCCATGTGGTCCCCGCTGGAAACCATCGTGACTAATTTATCATTGAATTCGTCACTATGGGCTAACTGGCTTGCCTTTTCATCCTAACTTATTATTCCTTACTGGTGTCCCGTCAGTGTATACCGATAGCGCAGGCGGGACTACCATTGTATTATCATGTATTAAAAAAAAAACAATATAAAAAAGCAATGATAGTTTTTTTTTTTCTTAGAAATTAAAACTACTAGCTCGTTTTATTAATATATAGGTAGCATATGCATACACTATATCAATGAGTATAACCTATGAAATGTAGTTCATTAACTAATAAATTGCTACTAGCTCAGTAACAATCTATTAGCTGATACACTACATTTCATAGTTCCTTTGACTCCCCAGTTACAAATAAAATTAATATTACCTACATAACAGTTATTCGTATCCTTGTAGTAAGTTAAATCTTAATTTAACCTAACCACTATGTATTTCCGGGGCTAAAAAGGATTGTTAGTAATAGAGATTAGCAAACCTAATAAGATTAGCAATATACCTTATCAGGTCGACCTCCTTACGGTTACCCCTGGAAACCATCATAATTGATTTAGTGATTCGTTTGTCATAATGGGCTGACTGATCTGCTTCATTTTCACTTATCTCCCTTACTAGTGCCTCGATGTTTACTATATCATTATCATCTTATTCTCAAATCTTTGTTATGATCCTAAGAAAAAAAGTACGTATTTCCTCCGGCCCTAGTATTATATTATCTGTGTTCCGATTATATACCTAAATAATCTTTGGTCACTAGCTAACTGACAATCATAATGTCATGGTAAATTCCAGACAAATTATCTTTTTGAAGACTAGGCAGCATGGTCTCCGACCTTAGCCTGTTCCAAACGGAACAAACGTACTAAAAAAAAAAAAAATGTCATGGTAATGTCAGTCTCTAATGTCAGTTTGATAATTAGTATTTTTGCAGTGTTGTGTAACTACTTCTCTTAAAATAATTTATTTTAGCACACTATAAAAGTAAACACAATGTTTAGTTACAAATACTACGACACACCGGAAGGCACAGATATCTTAAAGAAGACCTTTGTAACATCTAAATATGCCGCCCTGACCGGGCTCGCTGCAGCATCTTTCGATGTGCTAATGTTCTCGCATCCTAAAGGTGTCATAAACACCATAGGTCGTTACGGCTATATCATAGGCCCTCTCGTTGGTATGGCATCAGCATTTACTGTCACCGCAAACGTAGTTCAGAACGTGAGAGGCAAAAACGATGAGCTTAACTATTTCCTTGGTGGAGTAGCCGCGGGTTCAATTTTCGGTGCATGGCAGAGGTCATTGACAATTGGTATACCAGCAGCAGTGGTCCTGGGTGCCGCGGCTGTGATTAAGAAGACCGGCGTAGACGAAGGATGGGTGTTTATCCCAGATGTACCTCACGCAACAAAAACTATCAAGTCTGTTAATCATGACTGGAGTCTTGTTAAAGATGTGGAGGAATTAAAGAACTTTACTACAGGTATGTGATGAAATATTATATTAAAATTGTTTATATCCACTTAAGTACTAGCTTTTTAACCACAACTTTATCAATGTGACTGAGATGGATATACCAGAGGGACACTTTGTACGAAAGTCGATTGCTTGGGCACCTCTGTCCCATTCGTGTTTCTACCGTGAAGCAGTTGTGTTTGCATGGCTGTGTTTCGTTTTGAAGGGTGGGATATGGTATGAAGTTACAGGGGAATAACACCTGAGTCCTCAGCAATGGCAATGCATGGAGGGTATTATGGGCGAAACAGTATACTCTGTTATGTCCATGGTACTGCTCATGTCTATAGGCGATGGTTACCGCTTTCCATCAGGTGGGCCGTCAGCTTGTTTGCCATTCTAAGTTGTAAAAAAAAAGATAGAACATAGCCTACATCCTTCTACATCCTATATAGTTTGTTTACCAAATTTTACAGTGATTGGTAAAACTTTTAAATCATTATTAGGAAACAAACAACAAACTCACTTTCATAATTATAATATTAGTACATTTTTTTTAATGGATGATAATGGAATTGTAAATCATAATGCAGGTGGGAGCACTATCGGTATATATTGGTGGGGTACCAATGAGGGGTGAATGGTGAGGATGAAAAGGCAGGTCAGTTAGTTCATCATGACGAATTCAATGATAAATTGGTCACCATGGTTTCTAGGGAAAACCATGTAGAGATCGACCTGATAGGGTATATTGATAGCAATGGGGACTAACCTTCTCATTACTAAAAATCCCTTTCCCCCTATTATTAAGGCTTAGTTATATACTTCACCATGTGTTCCCAGCACAGAATGGGCCACCTCATCCTTTCCTATGAATGTCATAAAAGGTGACTAAAGAAAAATCTACTACTTCCTACTTTTAATATATAGACATGAGGATACTAATCAGGTGCATGATGAGTATTTCTTTGGAAGCATTACTATTCCTAAGATGATAAAGTTATAGTACCATACTCTAATTGCCTTTCTTTCCTACGGGTGTCTTAAGAGGCAACTAAGAATTTTTTTTATGCAATTTAAAATGGCAAACTAGCAGATGGAAAGTGGTGACCGTTGCCTATAGACATGAGCAGTACCATGGACATAACAGAGTATACTGTTTCGCCCATGTACCACCCATGCATTGCCATTCGCGAGAACTCAGGTGTTATTCCTCTGTACCCCGTACATTCACTGCCATAACCCACCTTTCAAACCAAAACAGCCATGCAAACCCAACCGCTTCACAATAGAAACACAAATGGGACAGAGATGCTCAAGTAAACAACTTTTGTACTGTCTCCCTGTGGTAATCATCATCATGATTCATTCCTACTGAATTGCCAGTTTGAGCCAATTGATTTTATCGACTTCATCCTCACCTATGATCCCTTGCTGGTGCCCCCCCTAGCACATACTAATAGCAGAAGGGTACCATTTCCTTATCATCTATTGTATAATAATAAGTAGTACATATCATATACATTGGAGAAATATATAATACACATGATAGGATTTTATTTAGATTTTCTTCTCGTGTTGATGAATTTTGTTACCTTAATCACCTCTTACAATATCTTGGAAATAATTAATATAATTTAACATTATGTGTATAAAGTAAATGTTATTTAAATAGGTTATGTATTATTTGTATAAAATATTAATTTTATTGTTTCAGGTTCCTAAATATACAAGACTCTTCTAAAGGCAGATGGTAGTGTAAATAAGATCAGATTGTGATTAATTTTATTTAAGTGTTACAATTAAAAAAAATCGAATTATTTTCTAGTCTTTTTTTTTTGGAAACCAAAGCAAGCCTATATTTGTCATAGCAATACACGCATTAATGGAATAATGGTAAAAAAAAATGGTAAAACATTGTGTATGACCAGGGGGACACGATGACGAAAAAAAATGGCCGCGCGGAAATTTTTTTAATAGATGGCGATACTAGTCGCGATTTACTATTAATGCTTTTCTAAGTTTCAGAAAACAAACAAAATCATTTATAAAATATGTATACTTTTATTTTAAAAATCTCCTAAAAAGGTAAAAATGAATAAAATAAATTCTTAAACCAAAACTCATTAGTTATATTAAAATTCAAAAATTGGTTTATTTCTACCAGGAAACTATTGTGCTTCGATCTAATTAGCATTGTTTAGTTAACGCGGTCGTGCTACAAGTTTGTACATATTATTTCACAGATGGCGCTGTTTCTATTTAATGCACTACTAAATCTGTTTTACTCGTTCACCTGAAATTTCTAGATACAGCGTTGCCAGATTGGGTACTTTTGTCACAATTATGGATAAAAATTAATTGTTTGCAAATCAAAAAATTTTGGTAAAATGTTTGAAAATAAGTCAAAAAGCTTTGGAGAAGTTTGCTAATTTTTTTTTCTATATATTTTCTTTATTTATTTTTTATTTTACATTTGTGGTATCTGTAAATCAGACAGCGTTATATAATTAGTATTTATTCGTCGTTCTCTTTGTGGTTACATGGCAAAATGTAGAGAAATTGATACAAATTTGTGCTTGAGTATAATGAAGAAAGTTCTATAGTTTTGAAGAAAAAATATTTAAAATTTGAGTAACAATTAATTATTTTAATGGCAACCCTGCGGCTAGAGATCTACCTACATTGTGTTGGCATGTTATCGTGATTAATAAGCGACTACGTGTATTTCTGTTTTTCGATTTTAATTGTGACCTAGCTAGCTTGTTCTAACTGGACTCTGACAAGTACAAATCAAATGACAATGCAATATTAATATGACCACAGATAATATAATACTATACTAGTACAGATACATCATCGTGAACAAACAAGTGAAAAGCTCTAAGTCGGTTTATTCTTCGGCTTAATTTTTAGTTGTTCATATGTGCGCTAGATGCCGCTACTTTCTTAGCCGCTCGCCAGCTCAAGCTAATAAATTAATTAACCGATGACTACTAATTGCGTAAGCAACTTAAAGATGGCGTAAATCTCTGTGGCGTTTGCTAATGTTGTGGAATGTTCTACCCATACATATAAATAATAATTACCTATTTATTTGAATCGTTTCGGCGGTCTCGTCTTGCGTTTATACATATATAGTTCAGTAGGTAAGTAATGCACGAGACTGTGTAGTAGTTTAAATAGCTCGCTTTACATGAATCGTATACGATTTACTTTACATAACTCTCCGAATGTGTTAGGTTTTTATTTTATTATGTAAATAGATAAGTACCTACTTAGTATACTCGTGTTATCATATCGTTCTATATTTGTCATTTCTGAACTAATTTAGTTACTTTAATTCAATATGCTTTCTGTGTACTTGCGTTCATTGCATGTAAATATTGTGATAGATTAAGCGATTTTGTGGAACAAAATGTTAGTACTGTATGAGGATGATGATGATGATGAAATCAGTCACTAACTTTTAATGGAATAGTAACCTACCACCGTTTGCGTTGTTGGTATATACCAACAACGCAAACGGTGGTAGGTTACTATTCTTACTAGCAGACTACTTACCAGTCGACGTATAATATACAAGGATAAAGTCAAATCAGACGTCTCATCATGATTAATTTACCAGGAATAAACCACGAAATAATATACCCTGTCAATGTCGATCTTTTTTATTACCTGGATGTTATCGTAGGAAATTTTTGATAAATTCGTCACAATGAGATTGCTTCATTTTTGATGGACTTCAAAAAGAAGTAGGTTCTCAATTTGGATGTATTTTTTTATGTCTGTTACTTCATAACTCCGTCAGTTTTAAACCGATTAGGAATTTTTTTTTTCTGAAAGGATATACTGACACATTGGTCCTATAGAAATTTTATCAAAATCGGTGTAATAGCTTAGTTTTTAAATCTTACAAAATCTTTAATCATCACCTATTTCAATTATATTCTTTTCCTGGTGCCCTACCAGCGTATACCAATATCGCAAGTAGCTTAACCATGCCATTATTATCCACTCGCTTTTACCCACGACTTCATCAGTGTGAGCAGTATATGTAGATTAACAGACAAATAGAAGCTTAAAGATAGTAGCTTTAATGTTTCTGTAGGAGTACGGACACTAGACACTCGGACACTGGCCACTCAGACACTAGACTCCCAGACACTAGACACTCGGACACTAGACTTTCAGACACTCGATACTCGGACACTGGACACTCAGACACTAGACACAGTCTCTAGACACTCAGACAATAGACACTCGGACACACAGATACTAGACACTCAGGCACACAGACACTAGATACTCAGACACACAGCACTAGACACTCAGACAATAGACACTCGGACACTAGACACTAGACACTCAGACACTCGGACACTAGACTCCCAGACACGAAGAAAGTAGCGGCATCTAGCGCACATATGAACAACTTAAAATTAAGCCGAAGAATAAACCGACTTAGAGCTTTTCACTTGTTTGTTCACGATGATGTATCTGTACTAGTATAATATTATCTGTGGTAGAACATACCGTTTCTCACTTCCATATTATAATAAAAACATCATTATTTTGAAACACAGGTAAAGGTATAGCAACTTGATGTAAACATTGCTGTATGACTTGTGACAATTGTCAAAATTTGTAACTGATTTAATGACCTTAAATGCAACCCCACTGGATCAATAATCTATGAATTTACACCAAAACTAAGGGAGACACCGATAATAAAACAACAAATTTGTGTTAATTTTTATTTCTTACAACTATAAAACAGAGATTAAGCAATCTAAAACAAAAAATGCTACAATTAAATGTTAAATTCGTATTTCCCTTATAATTAAATTAAGTATATAACAGAAATAAATAATTTAATAAAAAATGAGAATGGGAATGTACAAGCATTACTAAAGGAGAAGCGTTAAGTTTGCTGATTAGAATCTTCTAGGAATACTACTTGTTAAGGTAAAATTGAACATAATTCAAAGATAGAGACATCAATTGCCCATAGACAATAAATTTATTAAGGCTTTGGCTAGTAAGCTATCAGCGATTGGCCGTAGACATAGAATCAAAAACAAATGTAACATCTCGAGTTTCTGACTTCACAAAAATTATATATTACTTCTTCAAACAAGCATCAATTTATCTATTTTCACTATTAAATAGATATCTTTGTCATTCAAAAACGACCAAAGAGAAATAAATTATCTAATTCTGCAGCAAATATATAAAGCGCTTAAAATGTGTATTTCAAATATATTTTCCAATTCTCATTTCTATTAAAAAACATTAATTATAATTTATAATTAAAAGTTCCCCGTTAACTCTTTACAATTCTAAAACATCATTTCCTAAAATGGATTTTAGAGAACGACAGTTCAGAATTTATACTCTTTATCTGTAAATTTGAAAGAAATTAAATTTTTTTTTCGATATGACTAGACAACAAAAACATAAACTGACAAAATTGTTTCAGAGCTATATTGCAGTATCACACACTTCTTTTTTAATTATCTTATTTCTAATACCAAAAAGGGAAAATAGGAATAATCCAAAAAAAAATTTAATGAAAATAATTGTTGTTTTCAACATAAAACTTACAATAAATATTCAATTGAACAATTCAATGAGCGCTGTTAAGTTTCTGCTGTGTACAATACTCTTAAATGCAAAAACGCAATCTTAACCTCACTTCAGTGCTAACACCCTAATTATACCCAATTTCAAAAGAAAATGGTATTCTGATAAAACGGCGTTAGATTTACCTATAAAAATTACACAATACAAAACAAAATTTGGCTAAATTGCAGACTTAGGGTTGAATGGACGAATTGGAAGACACAAATAGGGTAAATGGAATAAAATAAAACATGAAATACATAGTAATTATGATTGAAAATTAATATTTTTTTTTTTATAATATTGTGTTCCACAAAATCGACTCCATTTGTGGCGAAATCAGTTATTTTTATTTAAAAATTAAACTACTAAACCGTTTTTGATAAAATTTCTATGTAACACAATCTGTAAGTATATCCTTTCAGGTAAAAACAATTTTCCCAATTGGTTTATGACTAATGACTTTGTTAATATAATAATAATAATTATAAATAAATAAATAAATATATGAGCCGGTAGTAAGTTTGGCACAAAACATTGAACACTGTAAATTCATATTTCCACACAAACTACTAAATCGTTTTATGATCTTAATCTATTAAGGGGCATTCACACTAGGGCGACCAATCGATCGACTTCGATAAGTCGATTGGACTACTTACAATACGAACTGACTTCGCACGGGCGCAATTACTTTATACAAAAATGTATATTAATTAAAATTTTTTAGGATGTATTGTCAATGTACAAATTTTCCGTAAAAAATATCGAAATGACAGTCAAGCCATTACCAAAATCCATTTTTTAGGCAAAGTCAAACTTAATTAAATTTACAGTATAAATGACATTATGCAAGATTTAATCACATATAGTAATAATTATATTTTAATTTTAGAATTGGTAAAAATTGTTTCTATATACCAATATTTATAAAAACATTGACTCAGCGATGGTAAAACTTAATATTAGAAAAAAGAAATACACTATAATTTAAAATCTCCTATTTTTTTTAAAATCGATTAAAATTCTAAATTAAAAATCTAAAAAAAATCTTTAATATAATAATATGAGGTCAGTAAACAAAAATCTTATTTATTGAACAGAGGTTAAACAGTTTACCAATCGATATAATGGAACCAATCAGTCGTTCAATCGCGCTAATGTAAATACACCATTATATTAGATGCAATATTACCGAATGTGTTAAAAAAATTTACACCTCAAAATCTCTAGATACATATATATACCTAGTATATATTTAGAAATGGAAAATTAACAAACATTTTTTTTTATTTATTTATATTTCACAATTTTCCATACGTAATGTCAATAAAAAACATGTTTCAATATTTATAGAAACATATACAAGACGACAGACACTCAGTAATTACTCGCAACGATAATTACGAAATTAAATAACTCCTGTCATGAGAGGGCGCCACCGTCACACTCGTAGTAATAGTCGGTAATGGGACATAAAAAGCAAATATTGGCCATTTATATATGGCCTAATTAGTAATTATGGTCGACAACAAAATTAGAATTAAATCTACTAAAATCAATATTTTTAAATAAAACTTAACATATGCACAAAATACATTAAAATTAAATCTAAAAATACAGCAGCAGAACAACAAGAGAGCGAAGACATAAACATATACAAAAAAAAAAAAAAGAAAAAAAAAATTAATACATAGAAAAGCAAATGAATGTAACAGTAAAAATAAATTTTATTACATAGGAAAATATATATATATTACATTACATCACTGATATGGGATTGAGCGTTTTATGTGTCTACACATTTTTTTTATAGATACAGTCACAAGCATACGGCCAGTCCGATGGTAAGTTATCAACATTCATCGAACGCTTGTAACACCAACTTGACCGTTGAAATAAAAACCCTAAAATATCCAAAAGGGAAAAACTATCCTTACTCCTATAAAAATTTTCAAAATTTGCATTTAAAAATCATAATGTGTTCATTAATTTTTTATGCTGACTGTACCTACGTTTTTTTTCATTCGGTCACCAAATCCCACATCAGTGTCCCGTACAATTATCAGTTCATTCCTTCTTTGGTACTGCTTTCGGCGCCTCCTCCTCTTCCTCTTCTTCTTCAACTTCTTCCTCTATTTCTATCTCTTCTTCTTCCACTTCTTCATCGGACATTTCTTCTTTCTGTAACAACAGACGGAGACTTTGTACAAAAGTCGATTGCTTGGGTACGTCTATCCTATTCGTGTTTCTACCGTGAAGCAGTTGTGTTTGCATGGCTGTGTTTCGGTTTGAAGGGTGGGATATGGCGTGAATTTACAGGGTACAGAGGAATAACACCTGAGTCCTCAGGAATGACAACGCATGGGGGGTATCATGGGCGAAACAGTATAATCTGTTATGTCCATGGTACTGCTCATGTCTATAGCCGACGGTTACCAGTTTCCATCAGGTGGGCCGTCAGCTTGTTTGCCATTCTAAGTTGTATAAAAAAAAAAAAAAAAATTGGCAGATATTGAGTTTGAAATTGAAGGAATTTAAAATACAACTCTGGTAACGCCAAGGGACTAACTAGTACAGTGAAAGCTCTATATAAGCAACTCATTTGAGTCAGTTTTCAATAAAAAAAGTTTCTTATTGGGAGAAGTTGCAATGGGACTGGTAGCCCGCATTACTAACGATCCCTTTCCCCCGACTAAGGCGTTATACCTCTGTACTCTGCACCTGAGGAATACAGCTTTGTTTTCGAGTAAAAATTTATAAATTTTCATACCTCAACGGCGGGCTGGGTCACCGCACTCGCTGTTGTAAAGTCGTCCAGTGTCGATTCTGAAATATACACATGCAATTTTATTAAATGAGTAGGCTTGTAAAGTTTATTCCTATATGTTACAACATGGGGTTCTTAAAAAAAAGGGGTAAAGAGGTTTCTTCAGGGTCGGCAACGCGCGCGTAATACACCCGGCTTATTGCAGGCGTGCATAGGCTACGGTAACCGCTTACCATCAGGTGGGCCGTATGCTTGTTTGCCACTTCAATGGCATAAAAAAAACAAGTAATTTTTACACCAAAAAAAACACCGACTTCATTTATGTCAAATCCAATTATTCTGATTTTTAAACCAAACCACTGAATCGAATTTGATGAAATTTCTATGGGACCAATCAGTCATTTCAAATAAAAAAATATTAATTTTCCAAATCTGTTTTATAAATGACGAAGTTATGTGGTAACAAACAAAAAATGCAACTGAATTGACAAAACTCCTCCTTTTTGGAAGTCGGTTACAAAATACACTCCTCGCAAAAATTAAGGGAACATAAAAATTTTTGAAATTTTTGGGTGATTTTCAACAGGCTGTATTTCACTGAAAAATAATCGTACAGGAAATTTAAAAAAAGGGTTTTGAAGCTTGAAAACTCTAGTTTTCAGATTTTTTGGTGAAAAAATTTTTTGAACTCCGGTTTCCATGCAATTCTTAAACAAAGCTGAAAATAATTTTTTTCTAAATTTTCTAGGTTTCGTTTTTCACTCTATGGGCATGGAAAAATTTTTTCGAGCTACTCCATTGTATAGGTCTCTTAGCGTGTTTATTCAGCTTCAAAAATCGCTTTGGATGGCTCAATTACGACCATTTGTCTCCGAGATATCGAACTTTGAATGCAAAAGCATCCTTTTCCATTCAACTGCTAATATCTCTGGAACTACTGGTCGCACAGCAAGCGAGCGCCGAGTTTCTTTATCTGCATAAAATTTACAATTAGGCACAGTCAAGAGTTAGTGAAGAAAAAATTTTTTTCCACCTCTAACATTGATTTGAAAAAAGTGGAAAAAAGTGACTTTTTCTCCTTTTTTGGTTACTTGGCTGTATCTTCGCTAATATGGGCGGGAAAGCTAAGGTTTGAGGAAAATTTTACAGTCTATTGTTCCTTAAAGAACCCCCTAAATCCCTGGAGCGATCGATTCAACGGTTTTTCCCGGACCAATTGATTGAAATTTTGGAAAAAATAAGGGAACAAGGTTTTTGTCCCTTAATCTCACCCTAATCCATTCAAAAATCAATAATTTCATTTGTTTTTCACTTTTTACTCAATTTTTTGTTTTTTTAAAAATTCATTATCAAAAAAAAATCGAAAAAAATCAAGAAAATTTTTAAGAAAAAAATTTTTTTGAAAAGTCGAAAAAAGTTTACAAAAAATTTTTTTTTCGTTTTTAAGGAAATCAAAGTTTTTGACAAAAACTTTGATTGATGATCGATTTACCGCCGGTATTAGCGTTACCCAAAGCATACCACGTGGAGAAACACACACACACACACACTTTAGAAAATGAGTTTGGAGTCATTAAATACTGCGGAGCTGACGAACCACGGGGTCTCATTTTTTCTAAAAATTACTTACACAACACTAACACACACACTCTTCAGAAAATGAGTTTGGAGTCACGAAATACTGCGGAGCTGACGAACCACAGGGTCTCATTTTTTCTGAAGAATCCCATATCATAAACACGTGCGTAAGCACAAAAGAAGCGTAAATCCGACCGTGCAACCTCCACGTGGTATGCTTTGGGTAACGCTAATGCCGGCGGTAAATCGATCATCAATCAAAATTTTTGTCAAAAACTTTGATTTCCTTAAAAACGAAAAAAAAAAATTTTTGTAAACTTTTTTCGACTTTTCAAAAAAAAATTTTTCTTAAAAATTTTCTTGATTTTTTTCGATTTTTTTTTGATAATGAATTTTTAAAAAAACAAAAAATTGTGTAAAATGTGAAAAACAAATGAAATTATTGATTTTTGAATGGATTAGGGTGAGTTTAAGGGACAAAAACCTTGTTCCCTTATTTTTTCCAAAATTTCAATCAATTGGTCCGGGAAAAACCGTTGAACCGATCGCTCCAGGGATTTAGGGGGTTCTTTAAGGAACATTAGACTGTAAAATTTTCCTCAAACCTTAGCTTTCCCGCCCATATTAGCGAAGATACAGCCAAGTAACCAAAAAAGGAGAAAAAGTCACTTTTTTCCACTTTTTTCAAATCAATGTTAGAGGTGGAAAAAAATTTTTTCTTCACTAACTCTTGACTGTGCCTAATTGCAAATTTTATGCAGATAAAGAAACTCGGCGCCCGCTTGCTGTGCGACCAGTAGTTCCAGAGATATTAGCAGTTGAATGGAAAAGGATGCTTTTGCATTCAAAGTTCGATATCTCGGAGACAAATGGTCGTAATTGAGCCGTCCAAAGCGATTTTTGAAGCTGAATAAACACGCTAAGAGACCTATACAATGGAGTAGCTCGAAAAAATTTTTCCATGCCCATAGAGTGAAAAACGAAACCTAGAAAATTTAGAAAAAATTTATTTTCAGCTTTGTTTAAGAATTGCATGGAAACCGGAGCTCAAAAAATTTTTTCACCAAAAAATCTGAAAACTAGAGTTTTCAAGCTTCAAAACCCTTTTTTTAAATTTCCTGTACGATTATTTTTTAGTGAAATACAGCCTGTTGAAAATCACCCAAAAATTTCAAAAATTTTTATGTTCCCTTAATTTTTGCGAGGAGTGTAGTAAATACTGTAATAAGAAATCCGATTCGACAAAATACTTTTAAAAAAATCGATTTCATATGGCTACAGGTTTCATAACCATACAATATAAACAAATATATAATTAACAAACACAACTAGGTTAGTACTGGGTAGGTTTCGCTTAATCGATAATTTGATTTTAAAAATGGCTGATTCATAGGCACATTTAGGGTGTGGTTGCTATATGGTAGTCCCAGCATAGAATAGGCCATCCCTTCCTTTCCCATGCGTGTCGTAAGAGGCGACTAAGGGAACATTACCATTCATGTCCCATTCGTGTTTCTACCGTGAAGCAGTTGTGTTTGCATGTCTGTGTTTCGGTTTGAACGGTAGGATATAGCGTGAATTTACTGGGTACAGAGGAATAACACCTGAGTCCTCAGGAATGGCAACGCATGGGGGGTATCATGGGCGTAACAGTATGCTCTGTTATGTCCATGGTACTGCTCATGTCTATAGGCGCCGGTTGCCACTTTCCATCAGGTGGGCCGTCAGCTTGTTTGCCATTCTAAGTTGTATAAAAAGAACTTAATTGTTGAGGGGAGTGCAGTATCGTCCCTCTTAAAATATCATCAGACCAAACTGTGATTGCCAACCCGCCTGCTAAATGTGGTAAGTACTGGCAAAACCCCCCAATGGGGAGGCTTATGTTCAGCAGTGGACAGTTAAAGGCTGAATGATGATGATAACATTGAAAACTTCAAAAGCATATTCCTTCTTAAAAGGCCGGCAGCACACTTCTGTTGCGGCGGTAGTCACTTACCATCAGGTGAGCCGTAAACTCATTTGCCAACTGAGATATAAAAAATAATTATTTACCTGGGTCCCTTTCCGGCGTGTCTCTAGGTGCGTCCTGTATGAGTGACAACGTCATTTTACCGCTAACAACCAACTGGAAAATTAAACGATTTAACACTAATTAGTCAGTTATTTTCCACCACGATTAGTTAGTTGCCACTTTCCATCAGGTGGGCCATCAGCTGCCGTCGGAGATGTGGTGAGTGCGAAAGCGAACCCATGTCTCCGACATATGGCACCTCGAGGGTATATCGTCTAGTTTTTGGTGGGTACACCCCCACCTTACGGGGGGATTCCCACAGTACCCATTCACCTCCCACAAGGTGTATGGGTCTGTATAAAGCATTTTCTAGACGTTAAAAAAAAGGTGGGCCATCAGCTTGTTTGCCATCCTAACTTGTATAAAAAAAGGCAAGAGTAGTGTAGAAACAATTTTTTTTATACCACTGAGGTGGCAAACAAGCATACGGCCCACCTAATGGTAAGCGGTTACCGTAGCCTATGAACGCCTGCAATACCCGAGGTATTACGCGCGTGTTGCCGAAGTAACCTCTTTACCCCCTTTTTGAAGAACCTCATGCAGTAGTCTCTTGGGAAAACGTCGACAGGGAGCTCATTCCAGAACCTGAGTGTTCATAGGAGAAAACATCTCTGAAACCGCTTTGTACGCGACCATTTAGGCTCTTAGTTATGAGGGTGAACTCCCTGTCGATGGCGAGCCGTACGATAGAAAGTGGCCGTAAGTCGACAGGAAACTCTGACGTTTGCTATTAGAACAATAAATATGCATGCCTACATCGCTTAAGGTAATTAAACATGTGCCAAACATTGGATTGGATTTGCTCGAAGAGAACTCTCACAAAGTTAAGTTCGCCTGTTGTACATCTTTATTTATTATAAATTATAACAATTCTCAATCTGTATTTATGTTACTGTATTTCACTTGAATTATTCACTTGTCATTGTATATTTTTATTTATGGTGCAATAAAGAGTTAAATAAATAAAAATAAATAAATAAACTTATTTCAATTTAAATAATTATCAAAATGGATGAAGAATTAGCAAAGACATTTTTCTTTGACAGTATACAATAGCGGGGCACTATAGTTAGATCATCGTTGTGATTTTTTAAGGAATTCATCACAGTGGGTCAACTGACCTAATTTCACCATCATCTTTTCATCTTCCCTTGGAGCTTCGCTATTGTATATCATTAAAAAGAAAATCTTTGCTAATTCTTGGGTTGAGTTAACTTTGTTTAATGGGTCAATCTCCACGCTGTCCCTTTAGGGTTTCTAAAATAAATCACTCAAGCCCAAATCACTTGACTTAATCCTCATTATTCCATTCCATATTGCTCCGTCATTGCATGCCAATGATACAAGTGTATATTTTATTCATTAGAAAAAAAGACACGGCAAAAGTATAAAATATCTCACCGGCGAATGCCTGGTAGGTGGGGTCCTGTCTGCCGTCTTTTCCGCGAAGTCAGCGACAAGCACGCGCGACTGCTGAGGAATCTCCGTCTCCAGGAATATCGACTTCACCTCATCAGCCTCGTGCTGGAAAGCGATGTACGCTTGAAGGTATCCAGCCATTGATAAAAAAAAACAAAACACACAATCAGAGACTAAAAACTGACTAGGCTGTATGGGCCATGCTGTTTGCCTGTCCATTTTAGACGAATTTTAAAACAACAACATCCCAGACTAAAAAATGGCGCTGAAAACGCGCTGTAAACCAAAAACCTTTTTAACCATCCAATGAATTCTGTAGCCAAATATAGACTACTGTTTACCCACAGAAAAGTTATCAATCAATGAATGTGTCTATGAATTTATCTCGACTGTAGTTTAAAAGCGAGTGTCGTAGTACTACGATTTATCTCGACTGTAGCTTAAAGGCGGGAGTCGTAATAATATGATTTATCTTGACTGTAGCTTAAAGGCGGAATTCGAATTCGATTTATCTCGACTGTAGCTTAAAGGCGGTAGTCGTAGTACTACGATTTATCTCGACTGTAGCTTAAAGGCGGGAATCGTAGTAATACGATTTATCTCGACTGTAGCTTAAAGGCGGAATTCGAATTCGATTTATCTCGACTGTAGCTTAAAGGCGGGTGTCGTAGTACTACGATTTATCTCAACAGTAGCTTATAGGCGGAAGTCGAATTCGATTTATCTCGACTGTAGCTTAAAGGCGGGAGCTGTAGCACTACGATTTATCTCGACTGTAGCTTAAAGGCGGAATTCGAATTCGATTTATCTCGACTGTAGCTTAAAGGCGGAATTCGAATTCGATTTATCTCGACTGTAGCTTAAAGGCGGGAGTTGTAGCACTACGATTTATCTCGACTGTAGCTTAAAGGCGGAATTCGAATTCGATTTATGTCGACTGTAGCTTAAAGGCGGGAGTCGTAGTAATACGACTTATCTCGACTGTAACTCAAAGGCAGGAGTCGTAGTAATACGATTTACCTCGACTGTAGCTTAACCAGTTAACTGTGATTGACGAGTATACTCGTCATGGAGAAATGGCAAAATCGCCGCGTTACCTAGCATACTTTCGTCAAGATCCCCTGCCTTTAATGTGTAATACTAATTTTATCTGCCATCTGCTGTCAGTATCTACATAACATTAAAATTTTTACTGACATGCCTAGAACGACAAAAATCCCAAAAAAAAAAACAAATTATTTATTTATATATTTATTCACAATTTGTGTTTGTTGTATTTACATTATTTTCACCGATACCTTTCCTGTACTGGATTACCCAAATTAAATTATTTTCACTCGTAACTACACTGGGTTGGCTGGAAGAGATCTCTTTCAGAGATAAGTCCTCCCTTGCTAACAAGTTTTTTTTTTTTTACAACACAGGGAGCAAACGAGCATGCGGCTCACCTGATGGTAAGTGACTACCGCCGCCCATGGTCACCCACAACACCTACGGCATTGCAGGTGTGCTGCCGGCCTTTAAAAAGGAATATGCTCTTTTCTTGAAGGTTATGTTGTCGTATCGGTTAAGTTGTTAAACTAATCGTCGCATGTATTGTTTAAGTGCAATAAAGAATATATAAAAATAAAACTTGTAATTTCACTGACTATCCTAAATAAATAAATAAATCCTTATACCGATACTCACCAAGATAGATGTAATTTATTACGTCGAAATTAATATTTTGACATATCCAAAAAACCAGGAACTACTATCAACGTTATTATTTTCAACACATTTCATTCTAAGATAAATTCTGTCTACTGTTTTAAATTAAAAACTTCTTTCTATGGGAACTTAGTAAGGGGATCATTAGTAAAACAGACCTGTTAGTACTAAATAAAACTGCTCACTGTATAAAAGGTCATTTATTTAGAGCGTTAGTCCAGGAAAAGTTCTAAATAACAAGCAGTTTCATTTGTACTACCGTTCGATTGTTTTATATGGGCCTTACTAACTTGTGACCGAATAAAAGAAATAATTTGTAAAATTGTATATTTACATGTAAATAGTACCTGCATATTTGCTTCTTTATTGCCGTTTCGACGTATATAGGTACCATTTGCTTGTAAGGGCTTTTACATCACGTTAAGTCGAGAGTATGTATTTAAAATATATGTAAACAATACGAAAGTTTAAAATTAACTACAATAATTTGTATTTGTTATATTAAATGAGTAAATTGGAGATACCATAGGTTAAGCATAGCTTTAACAACCCCATCAAAAATATAGTTGTGAGTATATTTTTTTTTTAATTGGAGACCTCAATTATTTGATGTACACTAAATTAGACAATGACAGAAAGCAAGACCCACATAAAAAAAATCTAGTAATTAATGAGCACATAAAAATTTTGTGGAATGCATTATAATATTATACTAAAATCTTACTAAAACAATGCAAAATATAATTCAAAATTAGATCTATAAGGCATTCGTTAAGAATTAGTTTAACTACAAGAAGTTGAATTAACCGGGAGACAGTCTCCCATTAGGATAAGGTAGAAACAATGGAACGCCAAATGCTTCGATTCAAAATTAATAATAAAATAAAAAAAAAATATACCACAAAACCCGATTTCAATCGTAGCAAAACTAGTTGCTGTAATTTAATAACTACTAAGCGATTTTGCTCAAATTTTGATGGAACCAATCTGTAAGTATATCCTAACAGATAAAAAGGAATTTTCGAAATCGGTTTACAAATGAAGTTATAAGGTAAGAAACATAAAAAAGAATACATATAATAGAATTTCACATTTTTTTTTAAATAAATTACTACTCGTGTGATTCTATCACGCATCTGTCTAGTTTTATCTCACTTAGAATTAAGTCGAAAGAGCATAGACATGTCAGTCCGCGAAATAGAATAAGCGAAGTCGATAAGTTGAAAATGGCTTAGAAACCGGAAGCATAAGAGTTCAAAATTTAAAAGATTCTTCTTTCAGTTATGATACGGTAGAAAGAGCAAGAGGATTTTAACTAGAGGGCTTAGATATGAGCGAACCATTAAAAAATTTCGTCGACTACTATAGTCGTCAACGTCAGAGTTAGCAACTTATATGAAGAGCTTAGACAGGATGAATATGTACTAGGAGATGATGAATCATTAAGAGTTAAAATCGTGAAAATTATGTGTTACTAACTGTTCGTTGTGTTTGGAGGACTTAGATAGGGACAAATAACAAGTACTAGGACAACATAAAACACTAAGAGGTAATATCGTGCACAACCAATCAAGTGCTGTCGTAAAGCGTTTGTGTAATGTGCACGGTATAGAGCGGCCTCACCGTGGGTCGCGCGGCGGCGGGAGGCGGGGGCGGCGCCTGCGCAAGCGTCGATTGCGGCCATGCGCTGCCGTCCGCCGCATGCGCGGTTAACTCCATGCCTACCACCTATAGTTATTGCTACTGTTTACCAGCCCTCACTCTGTATTAGTTCTATAATGACTCCGTTACCACATTATAACGTTACAGAAGCTGGTTTCAACCTATTATTTCGAGCGATTTTTTTTTCATATGCATACAATGAATAATATTAGCAAAGGCTACAGTAGCTCAGGAACGCTTGCAACAATAGAGGCATTGTTTATGCATTAGCAAACCTCACGACGTAGAGATCTTTATTGACAGAACCCAGCATGTTCACTGCCACATTTTACTCTACAAACAAGAACGCAGCAGGCAAACTAGCTGCTGGCAACAGAAATATGTGAGAAATAGCGATATGGAAGACAAAATAGACAAAATAGATCTGTAACTTTATATTGTCGTATACAGATGCCATTGAAAGCTGGGTAGGCAATTTTTGGCAATTTTGGCATGTATCAACCTTTTCTAATTTTACAATAATTATTTATATATGAAAACTAAAATTTTAATTCAATATCACAGCGAAGTAATTATAAAAAAATTAAATAGTAACCTTTATTTGCTCGAAATAGCAAGGACCAGTTTAAAATGTGAAATGTAGTTTATGGCAGACCATGGGAATAGTAGCATTAAAGTAGTAAGTAATATGAATAGCATACGACAAATTATTTATTAGAAAAGATTGCACGGCGTCAACTAGAAACGCATTACTATACATTCCAGTAAGCTTGCCATTCATCACAATTAACTAGGATAGTGACAAAAGCTTGTGCGATAACTAATGAAAAAGAAAACAACTTTAGCTCCTAGTAAATAAATCTCAAAATTAAATGCAAAAGGACGTAACTTTGAATTATTATTATTAGAAAAGGCTAAAAGACAATTTGTTCGTATATTCGTATCAAAATTGAACAAATTCTGACTTTAAAATATTTGCAAAAGATTTTTTTTTTAATAAAATTACATTAAAATATTATTGCTGATTGTTACCTTGACACTTGCATTTTCCGGCTCGACATCATCCTCCGCCTCTTCTTCTTCTTCTTCCTCCACCTCTTCCTCTTCAACTTCTTCTTCTTCCTCAAGATTCTTTACCGGAGAATCTTCTTTAAGAGCTTCCTCAAGAAGTTCGGGGGTTGAAAGCTTCTCTTGTTTCTCTTCGGGGGCAGCCGAAACATTATTCACTTTTGCATTTTCCAAGAACTCTTCGGTAGCTTTCTTTACTGAATCTACTGCTTTGTCAACTATATTTTCTGTTAGTTTAATAAGCTCTGTGTCTACTTTCGTTTTGACACTTAGTTCTTCCTCTTCTGAATTATTTTCTAGTTTCTGTAATACTTCTTTGTTTGACTCTGTCGTGGATTCTTTTGGTTCTGGTGTAGATTCTTTGGGTTCTGATGAAGGTTCTCTCTGCTTTTGTGTTTCAGGACTCTTTTCTTTGGATGCCTCTCTATATTCACTAGCTACAATATGAACTGGTCCACTATTGTGTAATATCGTTCCGTTAGTATATGGGCGAGCATGATTATCCTGCACTTCCTGAAATACAAACATTATATAAATATACCTTTGTCTTGTTTACAACTTTTTTTTAATAATCTATATACATCGTTAAGGAACTACTTGAATGAAATTATCTAATCTAATTGCCACAATTTAAAGACCAATATCTTAATATTAAAGTCTATTAAATTCAAACATATTAAGCACGGTTACTCATGCGAAGTTACATATTCGAAACGGATTGGCAATAATTAAATATAATAATTAAACCAAGCACTACAACATTTTATAAATAAAAAAAAAAAATACGCTAAACAAAGAAAAAAAAATAGCATATCTACTATCAACAGCTCTTCACACATCAAACGTCAATTCGAAATTTGAATTAATAAAAAAAAAGCAATATATATGTATATCTATTAATACAGATAAATACGATATTTTAAAAGAATTAAAAATATACAAAACATGAAAAGATATACATTATTTTAGTATGTAGTTTTTAGTGTTTCTATGTTTACTTAATTGCAAAATAACTAATAATCCACTGCCTTTTAACAGTTATTTGTAGGGGCGGGTAATAAAATATATAGTAATATCTGTATATTTATAGATACAATATCTATTTACTGGTCCAATAACGTATGTTAACTCTTAAATACCTGAAGTTTAAATTTTTTTTAATACCGGGCTTGTAAATCGCATTGTGCGCCTACAATCGATTTTATTTTAATATTTGGCTGTTTACATGTTACCAAATGTTTTTTTCAAAATATATACATATATAAAAATATCGTTTTGATTTCTATACTATTTTTCCCCATTACTAAACACTGTAAAGGGTACACTTATATATTTTTTAATTTGATTTTAAAAAATCAAGCTTTTAAGGGTTAGAAAGTACCTAAAAATAATATTTAAGGACAACAGATTTTTAATATATTTGAAAATAGATATCAGACCGATATGGGCGATATCAAAATGGGAGATTACTTTTTTCCCGCCATTAATCCACTTTTATTTATGCATGTCATCTTTCACACTGTCCATAAACCTTTTCTTCGGTCGTTCTTTTCCTTTACATTCTCCTGTCTTAACATGGGGGGAAAGGTATTGTTAGTAAGTATAAGCCTTGTTGTAACCTTAATCCCCATGGCCAGCAATACCCTGTGTGCTGCACCTCCACGTGGTTCCTCCCAGAAACCATCATGGTTATTTCTTGTTGAAACCGTCACAATGGGCTAACTAACTCGGTTTCATCCTCACCTATCATCCTTCACTGGTGCCCCGCCAGCGTATACCGAGAGCGTAGGGTGGATTCCATTATCATCCATTAAGAGCCTGCTTTAACATCAACGTAATGTACTCTATTTTTTTTTTATACAACTTAGAATGGCAAACAAGCTGACGGCCCACCTGATGGAAAGTGGTAACTGTCGCCTATAGACATGAGCAGTACCATGGACATAACAGAGTATACTGTTTCGCCCATGATACCCCCCATGCGTTGCCATTCCTGAGAACTCAGATTTCAGACAGACGTCAGCTTTGACGTCATTAATTTAGTAAAAATCTTTAGTTGTAGAAAAAATTATCAGTTTTAAGGCACGCGATATCACAATATGTTGCGGTCTGAGCTGACCTTAGTCTTGTATAAAAAAAAAAAACGCTTAATTAAGCGAATATTTTAATAGGTCACAGTTATTTAGGTCACTCGGCTTTATCGTAGCTTTAAACAGTTTCCTTTTAAATTCTCGATATAAATTTACAGGCCGTTTTTTGATAAGACTTGAATACAAATTAATTTGTGTTTTTCTTATGCATTTTTTTTTTAATGCAACATAGAATGGCAAACAAGCTGACGGCCCACCTGATGGAAAGTGGTAACCGTCGCCTATAGCATGAGCAGTACCATGGACATAACAGGTTATTGTTTCGCCCATGATACCCCCCATGCGTTGCCATTCCTGAGGACTCAGGTGTTATTCCTCTGTACCCAGTAAATTCACTGCATATCCCACCCTTCAAACCGAAACACAAATAATGTTTAACAACAGTTAATGAACTCACTGGGTTTCTGTCATTTCCTAGAATATTTTTTTTATTCATTCAATAAAACTATTTATAAACATTATGACAGCAAAAGCCAAATCAATGTTATAAACACTAGGTTTATGCTGTGCTAACATACAAAATTATAGTATTTTTTTTATTAGTATTTAACTCCAGATATTTCTGAGCCGCTTCTTTCGTTTCGTAAGGCTCAAAGATGGCGAACTGCATCCCGTAGTGTGAGGCGAGACGCTGTAACGTAAGGCGCTAAACACCGCCTAAAGAAGGCCTCCGGATGAAGTCGAAACAAATGTAAGAAATGACAAAAACAGTGAGTTCACTATATTCCCGGTTACATATGTATATAGACATACAAATTTGTATGATCAATCGAGACTTATCGAGACTAATTGTTAAGTCTTAATTACCTACTTTGATATATGTATATCTTTACCAGAGGTAGACTTTGTACAAAAGTCGATTGCTTGGGTACCTCTGTCCCATTCGTGTTTCTACCGTGAAGCAGTTGTGTTTGCATGGCTGTGTTTCGGTTTGAAGGGTGGGATATGGCGTGTATTTACAGCGTACAGAGGAATAACACCTGAGTCCTCAGAAATGGCAACGCATGGGGGGTATCATGGACGAAACAGTATACTCTGTTATGTCCATGGTACTGCTCATGTCTATAGGCGACGGTTACCACTTTCCATCAGGTGGGCCGTCAGCTTGTTTGCCATTCTAAGTTGTATAAAAAAAAAAAAACGCTGTATTATATTGATATACATGTATATGTAATAAAATAGTAACTGCTCGCTGTCTGTACACGGAACATATATAAGAAAAACTATTATAAGGGGGCTTTATGAACGCAATAGAACCCGCAACAATGATTTTTAGAATTTTTATCTGTTTGTCTGTACATATGTCTGTACGCTAATCTCAGAAACGGCTTAACCGATTTCAACGCGGTTTTCACTAATGCGTTGAGGTTTACTTCACTTAACATCTAATGTTTGATTTATTTCAATCGGTTCATAAATAAAAAAGTTATATCAATCTAAAGAATCACATATAAAATGCTATAAAATAACCGATCAGTTGAATTGGCTGAAACTTTATGAAGGTATTAGGTACGTAATTATCATTTAAATGTATAATACAATATAAGACCGGATTCATGAAGAGTTCCAATGGGAATAATATACGGGTACCACATAGAAGCGGGCAATGCCGCGGGAAACGGCTAGTACTGAATATATTTCTATCATTTTCATATAAAGATTAATAACAAAAAATAAAAATGTGCCAGTATCTATAATAATCCAATGTGCTCTCTAGCCAATACTTTATTTTTTTTTCGATTTCACTTTCCTAACGACAAATGTTAGTCAAGGCTCAGTAACTTAGGTACAGGCAGACAGACACGGCGACAAATAAACAATCCATGCGTTACGGAATTTATTCTTAATTATATTAATGAAAAAAAATAATATATAAATTATAAGAACACAGGAGAATAGACAAAGAATCGATTGTATTACAGAAGTGAATCTGGAATAGATTAAGACAAAAAAAACTTAAAAAAAAAAGCAAACTTGCAAAGGTTACAGGAGTAAAGAGTATGGTAGTTAAAGTATACACAATACATGATACCTTTCAGTGATTATTATCAAATTTATATATATATATATATATATTAATGATTAATTTGCTAAATAGATTTATTACATATATTATTTTCACTATTCAAAAATGCACCGCCTACTTATTTCTCTGTTTGCCCAATAGTCGACTGGTAGAGAACACCGCCCGGTGTTAAGTCCGCCATATGCACATAGCATTTCACTGTGCTTTAAAGTTTAAATAAATAAAATAAAATAAATAAACATTACTTGCTTTTTTTACTAAGATTTTTTTTTTTTAAATTAACTAGTCTATACTAGTTTATAAATTATTACAGTATATGGAACTGTTAATAAATATAGAAATGTAATAAAAATATAACCATAGACAATATGTCGTAAATATTATAAATTTTAAAACTACGTTTATCAAATAAGTCACTCATGTATCGCCCAGGTGTACTTAAGCCCCAACAAAAATTAAAATAGAAAATTTAATAAAAAAAAAATCAATAAAATAAGTCTGGTACACACTATAAGCTGCTGACTACACCTGCCTTACAGTCGTGAGCATATGAACGAAATGAGAGAGATGAACGAATGATTGGTAAACAAAAAAAAAAAAAACTGCTGAAATTAACACAACGAAAATTTAAGGCGGGGGTTATGGATAAGAAGGCTAAAGGCGAGCAGTTCATGCAGTGACCTGTCGCTGCTGGTTCTGCGCGTAGCTCGCGTCCATCTGCTGCTGCACCTCCGCTACCAGGCCCGATATGGCCGTGACAACTGCACGCCACAATTATCATCATTAGACATTTCACAGCCGTTGACTGAAGCGGCTCGCTTTCAGTAAGAGACTGATCATTTTTTATGTTTTTTTTTTTTTTTAATAAAAATGACGGTAAGCCTACAAATATACTCCATACAGAATAGAGTCTCCCTAACCTTCTTTCAAGGGGGTTCAATTTGTAAGTAATGCAGCTTAAGAGTCCCATTGCTAGCAATATACCCTGTCAAGTCGACCTCAACGTGGTCCCTCCTATAAACCATCGTGTTAAATTCCAGGTATATTCATCACGACAATCACTGGTGCCCCGCCAACGTATACCGTTAGCGCAGGCGGGGTACCATTTCATTATCATCCATAAAAAAAAACCCTCTTTCGAACTAAATTCGCCCCGTGATCTCAAATAAGACTCAGATATGATAATTTGAAAAAGGAACGCACCGCACGCACACATTTGCACGTGTCAAACATCATTTGTTTTTGTAATAGCAATAGTTATGAATCACGCCCTTTGTTTGAAATATCCGGATTGTTCTATGGTTTAAATCCACAGGACAGATAGTCAGCATACATATTTGTTAACTGACTGTATCTTTTCATACTTATTTTGTATGCATAAAACACAAACTGTGGACTGTAAGCCCTGTTCAACAACAGCTACGTGTGCTAATTTCTTATTTTACCTAACGACTGCATATCATTTAAAGTTTAAATAAGTAAGTCATTAAGGGCATTAGGGTATCTTAGTATATTTAAAAATAGATAATTCATGTTTTAAGGTGTACCTAATTGGTAAAGACACGTTTGTCAATGACTAATATAATGACAAAATCGCATTGAATTTTTATTTTATATTATAAAATAATTTATGCAAAGGCAAATATTAAAAAGTACGTTCTCCGTGTGGTCCCGGCATAGAATAGGCCACCCCTTCTTTTCCCGTGGGTGTCGTAAGAAGTCACTAAGGAAGGGTCACTAAAGATGGGCAGCAGCATCCCTTCCTAAAACATCTTTAAAACCAAACTGCGGTTGCCAATCCACCTGCCAAGCGTGGCAACTACTGCTAACCTCCCCCCCCCCTCCTAAGGGGGAGGCTTATGTTCAGCAGTGGATAGTTAAAGGCTGATAGGAAGATGATGAAATACTAAAAATATTTTTTAGTACTTAATCCAACTGACGAACATTATCTTTCATGTATGGCGGTGTTTCCCAACGTGTAGCCACGCCTCACAAAGGGGCAATTTGATAGTTAAGGGGGTGGGCAATTAAAAAGTGGACTCGAAGCGATTTTAACTCTCTTACTCCGGGCCATTTAAATGCAACGCTAGTAGATATCGGTGCCAAATTTAACAAAAAAAAGTAAATAAAAAAAAAAATGCTATAAATATTTATTAAGTAAAATTTCGTTTAACGTTACCAAAATATCAACTGGGCGATTAGAGTTGTCAAGTAAACTTTGTCCGGAAAAATTATGTATGGGGGCATAAAAATTTTAGAAATGTTCAAGTGGGGCATGTCACAAAAAGGTTGGGAAACACTGAAGTAAAGTGTATTTTGTGATGTAAATTTTATATCGCACGAGATAAAACACTTCAAAATCTTGAAAAATACAAAGACTGATTGTTCTACATCATCATCACTTCAGCCATTAACCGTCCACTGCTGGACATAAGCTTCCCCCATAGACTGCCATAAGGAACGGTCCTGAGCCACCTGCATCCACTGACACCCTGTAATGCATTTGAGGTCGTCACTCCATCTAGTGGGGAATCGTCCTAAACTGCGTTTCCCCGTACGGAGTCGCCACTCAACAACCTTTCTTTGCAATCGGTTATCGGTTCTTCGAGCTATGTGACCAAGTCGTTGCCATTACAGCTTGCTTATCCTTGTTCGATATGAACACCTCTTAATACCGATAGCGACGTTGTTACTTTATTTTTAATTAATTAATCCTCAACACACTACTTTATCAATATCCGCCGCATTTTTTAATAGCACATTATTATTTTTCAACCATACCTATTCTGATTAACTATATGGCTGCTAATTTCGATTTTACAAATCGTTCATATTTTTCACAAATAAAACAATGTAAATAAAAATAGTTCAACATCAAAATAGACTCTGAAGGACGCAAGACCAAAATAGAATGATGCATTAGTAGAAAGCGCGTGCCAGGACTGGAGCCCGTCCAAATTAATCATCATTACGGGTCGTCCACGTCCACTTTTGTACCCACGCTACTTATTAACACAGTGTTGGGAAGAGTTCCCTATATTGACAATGAGGGGCAATGCCCTACCTTAAAATTAAAGGCCCTAAGAAAATTATATAGAGTCGCTTTTTCGAACTTATTTAATTATGCTTTCTGCCCTACCACAAATTATTTTGCCCTACCTTAAATTTAGGTCTAGTTGCGGCCCTGATACAATATGGCGGGTGGAACCACAAGACATTATATATATATATATATATATATATATATATATATATATATATATATATATATATATAAAATATAATGTACCATTAAAGTATATAATATTATTTCAGAGGTTATTGTAGTGACATTCGTAAATCCATTTTTCAAAAAGGTAACAAAAATAATACGAATTAGCACAAAACCAGGAGGCCGTTTGGAAAAAACAAATTGAGAAAGTACAATTATGCTTATATTATAGTAAAACAGCATAAAACTTAGTATTTGTGTCTGTTTATATTGATCTAGATTTTTACATAGAATGTACATAGATATATTTATAAAAATAATATATAGGTACGTCTATTAGTTATCTAGTTCCCATAGTACAAGCTCTGCTTAGTTTGCCACTAGATGGCGGTGTATGTCTTGTGGAACTATTTTATGTCACATTATATATGACATATATTACTACGATTTTTTTCACTGAACAGACAAACAAATCATACTAATATTATAAATGGGGGAAATATTACTAAATGATTTGCTAAATTACACTTTCTCAAAGTTAAAATAGGTACTTTTCGTGTAGATTCCAAATACGCCTGGGAACAAAATAATTTTTAAGGGCTAACTCATCCCGATGCAGTAACTTTGGTCGTGCGTGCAAATTAAATATATAATATCAACGTAAAAAAACGTAACCGTCACCATGCCGCAAGCTACTACTCTAAACATCACACCTCAAATTCATTTAAGGTTGGCAGAACTGGCATACACGGCAAATTCAGTACTATTTTAAATACCTATATCTTTCGCTCACTCTTCGTGTAATGCAATAATTAGTTATAAAATTATAGAAATTCGTTTAACTTAATTGTGTAATTTACACTTAGACTTAAAACAATTGTTATATATAGAATAATATTTTGTAAGCTAATAATATAAGGGCAAAAGAATAGCCCTTGGTGTTAACGCGTACGAAAAATGACAAGCACACTTATCAATAGCGTCACGAAAATACATTGTAAATTCGGATAAAAGACAGAGACATAAAATATATAAGTGTGTAAGAGTGAGGGAGAGATAAAATCGGCCAGTCGAGCGAGCCTCGAGAGGCAGTACCGCGTCACGCTGCGCCAGCTGACCGACGATCCTTTGCATTGCTCGCTCGGTCTCTGCCAAGCGCGCTCTCAACGCTTCCAACTCGATGTCCCCTACACAAGGTTATTGCGTATACTCCTGAGTACACATAAAGTTAGGGATCTGACGCGAATGTACAAGATCTATCCAGATATGTGTGTATTTTTATTATTTTTTAAACTGATTCCAATCTGAGTTATTCATTAATGTCATATTACATAGAATATTCTAGTTTGAAGACGAGATAATTGATGATATTCCAAACCAATCGGTACGCAATATATAAAAAAAAAATTGAATTTTAAAATCTATTAAAAAAAGAATAAGAATTTCTTAATTTTAAATAAATAATTTGAGCTTTATCGCCCAAATAAAAAGACTTACATTCCATTCAACAATACATTACCTATCCAATTTAAATTCCCGCGAAATTTTATCAATACCTACACCGTATTGCGAAACTTTTTTATCGCACATGAAACGCGGAATGGTCGAGGAAATAATATTATACGGTTATGATAAAATTAATTCATGTTAATATTTTCTTATTTTTAAAAACAAACATATATGTATGTACTTACTTGTGTCTCTCTCTTTAGGGCCTGCTTGCAATAATAAAGTAGAATTATGTATACCAATATAAAATATTATTTATTATATAATAAGTTTTACCAGAGGGAGACTTTGTACAAAAGTGGGTACCTCTGTCCCATTCGTATTTCAACCGTGAAGCAGTTGGTGTTTGCATGGCTGTGTTTCGGTTTGAAGGGTGGGATATGGCGTGAATTTACTGGGTACAGAGGAATAACACCTGAGTCCTCAGGAATGGCAACGCATGGGGGGGTATCATGGGCGAAACAGTATACTCTGTTATGTCCATGGTACTGCTCATGTCTATAGGTGACGGTTACCACTTTCCATCAGGTGGGCCGTCAGCTTGTTTGCCATTCTAAGTTGTATAAAATATATATATACTATATGCTTTCCAACTATATTGGCTTGGCTGGGAGAGGTCTCAATCAATTAAATCCATTTTAAATCCACAATTATAAAGGATTTTTGGTAAACGTTATTTATTACATTGCATTATTCGCAAGATAGTATACAAGAAGCCAACTGAACAACACTGTTGAGAATTTATTTATTTTACTTTTAAAAATAGAATTCCTTTATTTGTTTTTTTTCTGCCAATTAATGTTTTGTTATTAGAGAACGTCATTTTTAAATATGACTATTAATGTTCTAGAAAAAAAAAAAAAAAAAAAACAATATATCTTTTTTCAGTATTTCACAATTCACAAATACCATGGGCGTCACAGTAATATTATGTCTATGCAAATACAACTGCCTCACAGCAGAAACGCGAGTGGGATAGAAGTACCCATGCAACCACTTTTGTACAAGTCTGCCTCTGGATTAGAGAAACCAGTTATAAGTACCACTAAGTTATACAAATTTTGTTTGATTTTTTTTTTATAATGAATAAATTTTTTTCCTGCTTTAACAGGAGTACAATAATGTACCGGACAAAGTGCATAAGAGTGGTTCAAAAACTATTCCGTATGTTTGAATTGAAAATATTTCAAGTGGAAATCTCACCTAGCTTATCAGGCGAGGATCTGGAGTCATCGCGGAAGACCCGCCGCCGGAACTGCGGGTCGGGCGAGACGGAGTCATACGGCACCGTGGCTGTACGCTTGAACAAGATCTGAAAGACCAGGCATTTTTTTTTATAAAAATACTAGAAGACTCGAACCAACTATTTTTGCTCCCAACCGCCATCTATGAGCTCTATTTTTCCTTATCAATATAAATTCAAATCATCTTTATTCAAATATATTTGTTTACAAACACTTTTAAATAGTCATTTTTTAATCTACTGCTGGGTTCGGAAGATTGTTATCTGTTGAGAAGAGTCCGCAAGAAACTCAACAGTTACTCTTTTAAATCTATGTTAACACACACATAGTATATATATATACTCGTATATATAGTTCGGCACCCAGCGTGAAACTATTCTCCGCACCCGTAGATGCACGTGTAGAATGTCGTGAAGGCTTCCTGATCCAATCTGCAGTGTATGCTGAACCTCTTAGTATGTAACTCGTCTATTATCTTGAATCAAATTCAACGATACACGGTTGCCTTAGAAGAGCCTTCATCCATGAATGCCATTTAAAGTCTATCGTACGATTCGTCCGGTTTCAGGTGACACTTAAAATCGTAAAAAATCATAGCGCGAAAATGTTCTCGACGCAAATCCATTTTTCAATGTGACCCTATAATTTTTTTTAATTAGCTCGCAAAAAATATGGAGGGAAGTTTTGAATTTAGAACGTACCTAATTTTAGTTATAAGTAATCATATTTTTAAATAAATTGTAACTGGCCAGTTTCAGATACATAAAAACTTTTTCTCGCAATACTTTCTAAGTGACCTGGTGGTCTACCATGAAATGAAATTCCGAATTTTCGGGCTCAATTTCGTGTTTTTGTTTGTACCGAAATCGAGCCACTAAATGGAACTTAACATTTCATTCATCATAAATCCTATCCTAATAGTCCAGAGGAACGATATTTTAACATTTTTAATAATTTTAAACGGCATGTATTATGTAAATTTAACATCAAATTTCTGTTTAGTTCGTCCCCGAAATTTCGGATATCATTTCATGGTTGGCCTACTGGTATTACCTTGCTAAGTGTGTACACGAAGAAGACGATTATGCAGATGGTGTAAATCGGCATCACGAAGCCCATTGAGGACTTGGGCGCCGGCACGGGTCCGCCGGGGGAGCCCAGCGGCGGGCGCATGCCAGGTATGGGCGGAGGCTGTAATGTTATGTACATTTTTAATACATTAACATTTAAAAAAAAGCTATCTTACTAATATAACACAATTTTAACTAGACGATGTCGATATTCGTACTTGGAAGATATTTAAGAATAATTAATATGAAGTTTTTTTTTTATACAACTTAGAATGACAAACAAGCTGAGGGCCCACCTGATGGAAAGTGGTAACCGTCGCCTATAAACATGAGCAGTACCATGGACATAACAGAGTATACTGTTTCGCCCATGATACCCTCCATGCGTTGCCATTTCTGAGGATTCAGGTGTCATTCCTCTGTACCCTGTAAATTCACGCAATATCCCCCACCCTTCAAACCGAAACACATTGTTGTTCAAGCAAAAGTTAAATTTAATTCAACCGTTAACTGTCCACTGTCCGACACAGGTCTCCCCCATAAGGTGGATAATGCCAGTAATTGCCTCGTTTGACAGACGGGTTGACAACTGTAGTTAAGCTTTGTTGATGTTTTAAAAGAGACACCGCTGCCTATCTCTTGGCCATTAAGTTCCCTTAGTCGCCGCTTATGACATCCACGGAAAAGGAAGGAGTGGCCCATTCTATGCCGGGACCACACACCAACACCAAAGCATGGCAAGCGTGATTACCATTTTATCACCCATAAAAAGAAGTACAAGTGTAGGGATACTCTGTGAAAACTTATGAAAAATCTGCCAACTTATATTCGGGAATAGAATAAGTGTTAAAACATATTCTGTGGTCCCATTATTATAATTATGAGGTTGGATAACTTATAATTATGTTTCTGTTATATTAGATCAAGGGTCTCCAAGCTACGGCCTGCAAGGTAAATCCGACCCGCCAGCGCCATCAATACGGCTCGCGGCAGCTTAAGCCTAGTGTCATCAATCCGGCCCGCAGCAACCAAGGGCAGAAAAATTAAAAATATTTTGGCCCTTGGAACATATTTAACTTATTTACTTTTACCACAGGGAGATTTTGTACAAAAGTCGTTTGCTTGGGCACTTCTGTCCCATTTGTGTTTTAACCGTAAAGCAGTTGTGTTTGCATGGCTGTGTTTCGGTTAGAAGGATGAGATATGGCAGTAAATTTACAGGGTACAGAGAAATAACACCTGAGTACTCAGGAATGACAACGCATGGGGGGTATCATGGGCGAAACAGTGTACTCTGTTATGTCCATGGTACTGCTCATGTCTATAGGCGACGGTTACCACTTTCCATCAGGTGGGCCGTCAGCTTGTTTGCCATTCTAAGTTGCATAAAACAAAATACTGGAAAAATCACTATGGCCTTAAGGCTTCAAAGATAAAAAAAAAACCACTTTGCAAGGCGCAAACAGATTAGTACTACAGAAGCACGACTAAAATCAATTACATCAAAACGATTTACGAACTACAAAAAAATCTTCAAGTGTTAATTGAACAGTATACTAATTAATCGCACGAACGATCGACAGAACGCCGACGGATGGACTGGATTGATCAGAGTTTATAAATACTGCCCGCCCCATTTACGACATCGCGGCTTGATGGTTTCCTGTGTACACGATGGGCAGCGGAGGTACACCGGCGACTGTGCGATTTGACGACGCAACTGCAATCGCATCGACTAATCGACAATATATATATATATATATATATATATATATATATATATATATATATATATATATATATATATATATATATATATATATATATAAGATATATGGTGTATTTAAAACATACTAGCTTATTGCCTGCTACTTCGTATGCGTGGGTATCAGAAGTAAAAAAACCAGCATAGAATGAACCAATCTTTCTTTTCTAATGGATATCTAAGGCGACTAAGGGAATTGACTGGTAGAAGAATCGGCAGCAACGATCCACTTAAAACATCATCAAAGCCTAACTGCGATTGCCGGGGGGAAAGGGATTGTTAGTAATGGGGTCAAATAGCCCCATTACTAGCAATATACCCTGTCAGGTCGACCTCCACGTGATTCCCCCTGGAAACCATCGTAGCTAATTCTAGTTGAATTCATCAGGATGGGCTAACTGATCTACTTTCATCCTCACCAGTCATCTATCACCGGTGTCCCGCCTGTGTATACCGATAGCACAGGCAGAGTTACCATACCATTATCACCCATTAAAAATAAACTGCGCTTGCTGGAGGGTTGGGGGGGGGGGGGGCTGTGAGTAATGAGGAGGTTAGTCTACATTGCTACCAATATACCCTATCAGGTCAACCTCCCCGCGGTTTCCCCTGGAAACCATCCTAACTCAATTATCGTTAAATTCGTCACGATGGACTAACTGACCTGCCTTTTCATCCTCACCAATTATCCATCACTGGTGTCCCACCAGTATAAACCAATAGCGCAGACCGGATTACCATTCCATTATCATTCATTAAAAAAATCCGATTGCCAACCCGCCTGCCAAGTGTGGCAACTATTGGCAAAATCCCCCTTATTAGGGCCTATTTTCACCAATGGACAGTTAAACGCCGATATAATAATAAAAATATGATGATCAAATAACGTCATTCCTATTCTAATTTAAATAGAACAAATTAAAATATGATTCCATACGAGAAAATTGAACCCGAGGCCTTGTTTTCATACGCAGAACAACGTGCTAAAAAACGCACTGCGAGAGCCGTGAAAATATGTCAAGAACGAACAATCCGAAATCAAAATAACAAAATGTTTATTGCGAATAAAATAGAATGTGTTACAACATTGTTAATGATATAGAATATTATGATAAGATACACCTGTGGCCGTGTGGTCCTGGCATAGAATAGGCTACACCTTCCTTTCTCACGGGTGTCGAAAGAACTGACTAAGGGAGGACGAGGGATGGGCTAGCAGTTGTGAATGTGAATGTGAAAAGGACTCTATTTTCCGCGCTTAGCCTCTCATTTGGGCCGTTGTGCGTATGAGTCGTGGCTAGTACAGCCAGCCTAGCCCCGCCCAGAAGCGCAGAAGATTCCTGGGTTCTTCACAGGCCTCACGGAGCGACCTCACCGTTTGGAGGATTTCTAAACGTTGATGGGCCACAGCCTCACATTCCAGGATTACGTGAGCAGCCGTTTCTTCGGCGTCGAAACAGCCTCGACATAGAGGGCTGTCTGTGGCTCCTATTGTGTATAAATGTTTGTTTAATGGACAATGGGCAGCAGTTATGCTTTTATGATATTTTAAGAGATACGCTGCTATTTAACCCTCGACCATTAATCTCCCTTATTGGTCTCTTACGACACCTAAGCTGATAAATAAAGGGTAAAATACTATGCTGGGAGCACACAGCAACCTACCTACAAATATCCGCCTGCCAAGCGTGGCAACTACTGGCGAAACCCTTGTCCGTACAGGATCACCACTCAGGAACCTTTCACTCCCATCGGTTGTCGGTTCTTCGAGATATGTGACCAGTCTTTTGTCAACTCAGCATGCTTATATTTCGGGCTATGTCTGTCTCTTAAAACATCTCCAAAGCCTAACTGGGGTTGCCAATCCGCCTGCCAAGCGTGGCAACTACTAGCAAAATCCGCTCTTGTGGATAGTTAAAGGCTGAAATGATGATGATGACGCCTGTAACTATTTAGTTATAATTTAATTTCAACATTTTCCAATGCATTTTTGTTTTATTACTGCACCATTGTTCAGATATGTCATCAGACAGGTCGATCGGCTTTTGTATTGTAAATATTACCACACCGGCCGATAATTGTCCACTGCTGGAGATAGGCCTTCCCCTATTGGGAAGATTTCGCCAGTAGTTGCCACGATTGGCAGACGAATGACGATGATGAATGGCAACCGCAGTTAGGCTTTGGTGATGTTTTAAAAGGAACGCTGCTGCCCATTCCTCGACTATTCAATTCCCTTAGTCGCCTCTTACGACAGCCACGAGTAAGAAAGGGGTGGTCAATTCTATATCGGGATCACAGGAACAAAATAGGCAATAAAAATATAAATATACTAAACTATATATATATACATATACTAGCTGACTTGGCAAACGTTGTTTTACCATATACATAATTTTTATTATTATATTATTATTATATATTCTTTATTGCACTAAAACATACAGTAACAACAATAAGTTAATAACAATGTTAGCAAAGGCGAACTTATCTCTAAAAGAGATTTCTTCCAGTCAACCTAACGCAGTGGCATAGGAAGTAGTGAGTGGGCAGTAGTAGTGCAAGACAGAAATTTAAATAAATATTTACATAAATTATAAATTTAGAACTATACATGAAAATTTATCTTACTACAATTATTATATTCGATTGTAATCTTGCAACCCTATTGAGGCATATAAAAATCGGGATTAAAAAACAGGGGTTGATCGTAAAAGCGTGAAAATTCAAATTTGTATGTATTTTTCAATGCTAAACCATAATAAAATATAAATAAAAAAAAATATTTAGGGGTGGGTCACTCTTATCATTGAGAGGTATGAAAAATAGATGTTGGCCGATTCTCAGACCTACCCCCCGATATGCACACAAAATTTCATAAAAATCGGTAAAGCCGTTTCGGAGGAGTTTGGTAACAAACACCGTGACACGAGAAGTTTATATATTAGATATAATAACCAGAGGGAGACCCTATGATCTAGTGCCAGTAGTAATGGGTACCAAAGACAATTTAGTCGCGAGACTACATCGGATCGATGTCGTTAGTAACCTTCATTGCGTTCAGTGATGTTTTCATACAGAACTGCGTAATTCGCCAAAACTTCGCGGTTATCAAAATATGAGGTAGGTATGTTTTTTGACGCTTTGAATCGGATGCTGTAAATAAACTATTTTTGTAACATTTGTAGATAGGTTGCCGTGTGCTCCCAGCATAGTATTTTACCCTTTACTTTACCCACCCTTTACTTTTCCGAAGGTGTCGTAAGAGGCCAATAAGGGAGATTAACGGTCGAGGGTTAAGTAGCAGCGTATCTCTTAAAATATCATAAAAGCATAACTGCGGTTGCCAATCCGCC